GCGTGACCTCTTCTGAACTTACAGCTGGAGTTAATGTCTCATTACCACCTCAGGAAAAGGGGTAGCGACAGTTTCTGTTGTACGTACTTTGATGACAGAGAAGAAAGGAAACTTAATATTGTATATTAGGTCCAGCAACCTGTTGACTGTAATAGTTAACTGTGCTAGATAGAGTTATTTCTTATTTATTCAGTTACTTCTGCTCACACTATGAAACACTGCAGAATCAAATGACTGCTGGTAGGTGTACCTGAAGGGCGGGTAACCATCCTCTGGAAGATACTTTATTTGAACTCACATTGGACACAGTACATCACGCCCTTGTAGTGCTGACATACTGTTAGATGCTAGACTTGGTTCCAACCTGTTGCCTATAGAGATGCCGTACTTAGGAGGTTTATTTTAATTTCACCAAGTTACATACTTTTTGCTTTATAGATTCTTGCTTATGTGAAGGTATAGCAGACTAAGATTTTACAAATGGTGCAGACATTTGTAAAACAGAAGTATTTATCGAGGAAGCATTTCATGCAAATTTACTTGACAAACTGTTGAATAGATGTTTCTTGAACACTATATGACTAGAAGAGAAGCATTAAGTCAAAGTAGAATTTGTTATTTACAGCATTCACTGATTTTAGAACTAATCTATGTTATTAACATGTTACCTGCATTTACACCAAGAACAGGCTGGTGGTGGGTTTTATGATAAATCTTGAGAAGCAAGTAGCGGATACTAGACTTTAGCACTTGAAACAATTTGACATAGGAAATTTCAATTACTTGAGAAAAAGAGAATTTGAATTTAAAAACACTGCTCAATTGAGAATCTAACTCTTCTCTCATTTTTTGTAAGATGTACAGAAGGGTTTTTAAAGCACCGACTACCGTATTGATTAACTTCCAGAATTCATGTTTCAAACCTAACAAATTGCCTTAGCCTGAGGCATCCAAAACAACCAGCACATTTTCTCAAACAGCTTATTACACACATTCTATCAAGAAAATTCTAGGTTCCTTTTACTTGCACTCACATTTTTCACTTAGGTGCCCAGAATAATGATAATGTAAATTGGGCTTCAGTAAGTTGGAAAGACCAAAGTTGGAAACACACCATGTAACAGAATGTTAACTGAGCACCTGGGATGTAAAACAAGAGGTACATAAAGAACCAAGTACAAGATTGTGATCTGAAGAAGGAATAATGGCTTCCAGCCATTCTATCTCTTAAGAAGTGAAGGGCACAGCATATCTTATTTCACAGTATTTCCCCATCAGAGACATCTCTATGGCAAAACACTACCATACATTATATCTAAAGGAGTAGGAAATGAAAAGGTTTCATGTCACGTAAAAGAAACCTTTCAGTGGTGTGCGTAATGATACCCAGATGTAGAAATACATTTGTGTTAAAAATCTGACAGGTGCAACTGTGTTTTCATTACACTGCATTTTCAAACACAAACTCATTACAAAACAGAACAAACAGCCTTTCAAAATTGTTCCATGAACAGAGGTAACACTAATGTAAGGTACTAGCTTGAGAATCCAGCACAGTTTGAGACACTAATGCTGAACAAGTCATGGGAGCACTAAATATTTTAATACCGTCCTGGTTGGTATGATGTGATCTTTACTAAGCGAAAAGCAAACTTCAGTCTAAGTGGTGAATCTTCAGCTATAAGAATACTACCAGAGAATAAAGAAGGATTTCATAATTATTATTACTTTCAGCATATTCTGTGTTGGTATATTTGCTCTGTCATCAGAAATCAAGAGTTCAGTTCACTGTGATGCTCCCAAAATAGAAGTTTCCCCATACATTCCACTAAAACCACAAGTTGATGTCATAAGCTTTAAGCCAGAAAGTTAAGGGCCTAATTATTTCTGGAAAAAGCAATGGAGACAGAACCTTGGAAGGTGCTCTCAACAGATAGTTTTAGATCATCACAGCACTTACAGATTTGCACTTTCAAAAGCTAATTTCCAGTTAAGAAACAGTTGTGAGGTCAACAAAAAAGAAAAATATTCATAAATGAATGTACTGGTTTACCAAGATTCAAAAAAAAAAAAAAAAAAATCAGGAAAGACAATCTGGAGAGCCAAGACTAACCCTGGAAGCAACCAAACAGCAGCCAACCCAGGATGAAAAGGGTAGCATGTGTATTTAAAATTGCATAGATTTTGTATGACACTGGGAGGATTCAGACGCCTATCTGCAGTCTGACACACATTCACAAATTCATAAGTTCTCTTTAAATTTGGTTCTGAAACTGGCAGGGGGAAAAAAAAACAAAACAGCCCAAAGATGGAAATATAAGCATTTCTTGATAGATTTAACAAAGTTGTCTGAATCAAGTTCAGAAGTTTCAGTTTCTGTGATCTGACGCCTTTTCTGAGAGCTGGTAACTTGATGATCAGTGTATGATCTTCCTTCCTAACCCAGGATACTATTGTTGCTGAAAGGTATTACTAACTTCAGGGAAGCATAAGCAAGATTCTTTTTTCTTACAGGAATAGCTATTGATTTATGTGTTCAGAATCCAATTATAAAACTGTATATGGCTACTGTGACTAAATTGGTATAATAAAGAGTCTAGTTTACTCCCCCACCATCTCTATACTACCAAAGCTGGTTTTTATCAGTGTCTCTGAGTTACAAGGAATTTCCACATCATTCTGGTGGCAGTTGTATGTCCTCAGAATACAAGTGCATCCTTAGGAAAGCTAGCCATGTGCCAGCCTGTGATTCTTGCTTATGTTCCACTAATGGAAGTGCAAACAAGTGTGACTGCCAAAGGCAAAAAAAAAAGCAATAGGAAAATAAAGGAGCTGAGAGGGATATAAGTTTCTACATGAAGATTATTAAGTGTTCATTTTGGATTTACGAGCATGGATTCAGGCCTACTTTAAATTATCTTCAAAGCACTTCATCCTCCTTTACTCTGAATGGAGTTTCAAGTTTCTCTGTCTGGTAGCAAGTATGATATGCTACCACTCCAAAAAAAGCCATTAATCTGTTTTCACTACTACTGGCTAGTAAAGCAACCAAAATTCAAAGTTCAGATTCAATCACACTCTACTTCAAAATGAGAGCTACAGCCTGAACAACAAATTCTAGTCAATAACTGCTGCAGTTTTAATGTTCTGTTCCTAGCCATGTACTTCTGTGTTCAGAAATACTTCCGAGTGCTTTGTTAAAGATACAACACAAGCATGCTTTCTTCTACAATTAACTTTTGGGTAATATGTGGATGGCAACTGCCCATAAGCAGTTGGCAGGCTCTTTTTACCATCTATGCAGCTAGATAGGATTTGTTAGAATATACATACTAGCTGTTAAAACCATACTTCGTGTGCGTACATGTATGCATACATACACGTGTGTGCACTCTTACTTCATGTGGGGAAGCAAAAAAAATTGGCTTAACTGCCACTCAATTTCACGAGGCAAAGAAAAAGCTTCACAATAGTTGAAAACCAAGCCAGTTTCTTTACTGCACCATAATGCAAAATCGTGGGTCTTGTATCTGTGTTTAGCATACTTCACCACACAGCTTACAAACAAAAAGGGCTTTTCTGAGCCATTCCTCCCAAAGCTGCTTCAAACCTCAGTGACCTGATGGGTGCCTGTTCTCTGCATCAAACACACTGCTGCTTCAAGCCACCAAGCAGAGGCTGGACACAGCCGAGGACAAGACTTGGGCTTACCCCAACTCCTCACGACTCCAGCTCTGCAGCTCCACCCCACCCAACCCAAACACTTGATTGCCACCCAAAGCACTCACACACAGCCTGCTGCCCTCAGGACGCTTTAAAGTGCCTGCACATACCTCTAGACCGGGACAACCTTCCCACCGCCGGCACTCACTTGAAACTGACCCACGAACAAAGCTCGGAGCCCACAGCACAGCCGCACCTGCCCAGCCACCCGAATACAAAGGCTTCGAAACGACCTTACCCCACGGCGCGCTTGAGGAGCCGCTCCTTCTCTGCCGCTGCTCTGCCTCCCGGCGGGGCCGGACCCCACCACAACAGTGCGTTTCCAAGGCAACCCGCACGCGCAAGGCCCCTGCCACGCGGCGTTCTAGAACCACCCCGACGGGGGCGGATCAGGACTGACCTCGGCCTACACGGGAACAGCAACGGCCTGGCCTCACCCGACTTCATAAAGTGGTTTATACTTCAGTCTGCAGTTGCCCCGTGGTTGCTCCTCCTTACTGGCAGGGCTGTTTGGGGCAGGAGGTGCAAATACAGAAATGAAGCAAAACTAGGGTGTTTCTGTGTCATGTCAGTTTCCACCAAGACATTGACAGTTTTGTAGCTTACAGATTTTAGTGATTGTCTTTATGTGTTTATTGTGAATGTGCCACAAGATGCGTATGGTGCTTCTTCAGATGTGATCTGTTGCCTCAGTCAGTGGCACTGAGAGAGCTTCTTACTCATAATAACACCATGAAAAGTGAGCATACAAGTGTTAAGATTTGAACATAAAGGATATCAAGGGCTTCTAAAGACAAACTAGGGCTACAAATTAGTAGAAAAGCAGCAGACTGGCTACACATGAGCTGAGGTCAGTGGCAGCCTGTAAACCAGTAAAGAGGATCGGAGGAAAGGGCCAGAACAGCTTTCAAGCACGCTTTGGGTTGTCTGTTTTTGCCTCATGCAATATGACTACCAAGAGGTCAATAGAAACTTTATCTACTTTATTAATAGGAAATTAAAGTGTCTGTCTTGGATCATGCTAAACCCAGTGTTTACAGCAGCAGGTTGAGGAAGCTTTCATTTCACTCTGATGGCAAAACACTGTTATTTTCAGGCGTGTGTGGGATACCTGCCAGGTCTGACATGTGATGGTGCTTTACCTTAGGCAAATGGCCTAAACAGTTGCCAAAAAAGACTATTAGTGAGAGCAGATTGAACTGAAGAAATACAGATGATCGGAGTGTGGAACTGCAGGAATTGCCATGTCTTAACAGACCTTACCAAATCCATTTACGGGCGTTCACTTGGATGAATTTCTTGTCAGAAGACATGTAAGGATCAAAGTGTCAGAGACCTGACAGCAAGTACAGGTGATTCGGAATTGTGTGAGAAGATAATCTCATAAAATCATGAGGAGAAAGGTGGGTACAAGTTGTCTACATTAAGAAACTAATTGGGAAAACCCATTCTTCACCCTTGCTGCCCGATAGCCTTTGTACCATTGCATCCGAAAAACCCAACAAGAAAAAAAATTACCTATTCCACTTCAAATAAAAAAGGAAATATCTGTCAAATCCTGGCAGGATGGCAGCTACAGTGTAAGATGTGCCTTATACAATTTAAAGTTTAAAAAAGCAAGGATGAACAGAGTAGACTATGATTAGAAAGTAATACCAAGCAATTTCTTTTTGTTTAAACTATGCTTTAGGCACTTAACGAAGCAGGGAGGCTGAGCACAACTCTGAGGGTGCTTTAAGTGGATATTGCAAGGATGTTAAAATGTTTATGCCTCAAATGCATAAGATTGTTACGTAACTAACAGGATTATAACTAAAATTATCCAGTAAGACCATTTAGTTAGGCGGAGTATATTGTACTTCCTGTCTTGCTTTCTCTATAAAACCTATTTTAGTCCTTTTGGATAAAGACAGACTAACCTAACTGCAGTTTCACATAAATATGTTTTTCTGTACAGTTCATTGTGACTCAGGATTTGCAGCTTCTGCCTTTTTCCAGGCTGCAGTCCTTGACAGAAAATGGTTTTACTCTGCTGTTTTAAACATCATAGGAATGATTGGAAAGGGAGCTACATACTGAATTGGAGGCATTTCTTTAGTGTTGATGATGGAAAGGAATACGTATATACATATAGAAATCATTTCACTTAAAGTGAAATTGGGAAGGAAAGGAAAATGGTTTCAAAGGTGCTCTTCAATATGCTGCTGAATTCCTTTCATTTGAATTGATCTCAATTCGAAATTCAAGGCTGTTTTTCCTTAACATTCAGAAATGACTATGGATTTGTTAGTTTGGGATACTGGAAGAATCAAGGTTTGGGTTTGTCTCCTCTATGATTGATGGAAGGCTTACAGAAATATAAATTTAATATAGATTTGTCATTTCAGTGCATGTGACTGAATGCAACTTTACAGATGTCATCTGAAAAGTTATCTGGTGTTTGAAGTGCAGTAGAAAATGACAGTATTTATAAAATACAGCATGTAATGATAACTACTACTTTCTGAGCATATAATGCAAAAAATACACTTTCAGCAGTTGCATAGAAAAGTAGATTTTTAAGAAAATTATTTTATTAAAATTAATAATTAAAATACTTCTGTAAGGAACTTCTGGGATTTTTTTTTAAAGATGATTCTTAATCGAAACTTTTCCCTTAAAGAAGGGGAAGTAACTCATAAGGACATGGATGGCATTTGGTTTATTTTATTATTATGCAGAAGCTCTTTAACATAAGTCATTTTGGATGCTAAATTATCTTCTGAAAGCCGAAGGGCTCTTCTGAAGCACTTTGTTCTATGCGCGTTAAGGCTTCAGTACAGCGGAGTTAAAGAACCTGGATTTTGTAATGTAATTGAAAATGACTCAATTTTATCCCAGTCAAAGGATGGGATAGTATATTTTTCTAAGCTGAACATGTTCAAGACAGTTGACGGATATTGCAGATAAGGATGAGTCTAACAGTAAGTATTCTACCTTTTGAAGTAATGATTCTATTAAATAGTCATGGAAGTGCTTTACAAAGCAGAGGAAGTGAGAACAAACACTTGTGCAGACTTAAGCTCAGTGGCTATAACAAAAGTGATGTCTTAAGTAAAATTGGTTGATAAAGCAGACAAGAAAAGCCTCTAAGCAATAGCTTTGCAGATGGCACTGAAAGGTAATGAAAATAAAAATTAGAAATAAAGATTTTTCTACTCACTCCACTGAAATAGTGCAGGAGTAAGAAAGGCAGTAAAACAGATTCCTTGATGAAAACGCTCCAACAAAGGACATTCTGAGAGTATGATTCTATGTGTTTGTTAGATATAGGTATCAAAACTTCAATATAGTGGAACTATTCTAAAAAATGAAGTACATAAAATTCATAGCATTTCTTTTCAATGCTGTGCTTTATCACTGGCTCCTTTTGTTACTTTCAGTAGCTAAAGGAAATGCGGCTGGTTCTGAACTATTATTATGTCTTTCATAGAGACAATGTAGATATACTTTTAAAGATAAACTAAAGATAACTAAAGATGTGTTTGAGACTTCTAGCTTGTCCTTCCTATATTATGTTATGTTACATTACATTATATTGCGTTACATTATGTTATATCCAAATATACTCATCCTGTGTAACTTCAAGGCCAGATTAAAAGGCCAGAAATAACTGCATTTTTTCTTTGAAGCAGAACCAAGTGTGGGTCCTGTCATCCAAATAACCATAAAGCTGTCAATGGAAACTTTGCTTACTGTGCTTCTTGATAGGATTGTTTATGGTTGACCACATGGTCCATTTAACCCATTACTATGTCTTGTGCTTGCTTCATCAGAAGAGCTTGAGGTCATGTTAAGAGAATATGTCCAAGCTCAACAGTAGTAAACTTCTTCCTAGTTCCTGCAGACATTTTAAGATTCAAAGCACAATGGCTTCTGCCTTTTTCCTATCTTTTGTGTTATCCTTTCTGAGCTGTATTTGATCACATATTATTTGTGATGTCTTAACACGTTTTACTGAAATGCTTCTACATCTTGCACTTCTTTCCTGCCAACAGAAAAAAACCAAGTTGTAAAATGCTACAGATAACAAAAATTGAGAATAAGTACTTCAGGGTACAACAGTGAAGCAATGAAATGGTTTTCAGTAGCAATTAAACCTTGTGGAAAGTTTTTACACATTAAATCCTATTTTTAATGCTATCCACATATAGAAGATCTGTAGAAAACTGGAACATCTAATACCTAAGGCAAATCAAGATGAAATAAAGACATAGAAGTGAACAGAATAGTCTTATTTCCAGGTAGAATTTTCTGTAAAGTGCAGGTAGGCATTAGCTGAACACCTGGTAAATTGCAAATTCAAAATTGCAGGTTTTTGTTCCAAGGACATCCTTAGCTCATGACATTCTTTTTACAAAATAAGTAAAAGGCGCCATTTCCAGAATTGTGGAGGAAATATTCCAACTATGTATTTGCCCAAATTTCATCTTCTGTTGGAGATCCTTCAACAGTTCCTTGATTTAAAAAAACAAAACTACCTAACATCAAGGTAACTGGTAATATTTCTCTCTTTTCAGTTGCTACTCCTCCCTCCCATAGTGGTTGCAATGTGAAATCAGACTGCTTGGGATTTTGGCAGTGTTTTGCTTTTGTACTAAATCACCCATTTGTCCAGACACTTTCAGAATTCAAGTAGATGCAATCTTTCTGTGAGTTCATTCTTTTATTCTTATGTGAGTGTGTAATCACAAAAAAAAACCAACAAAAAACTGCCACCTTTCTGCACAAGTAAATCAATTATCTTTTTTTAACACAATTTTTCATGCAACTAGCATATGGTTCCTATGTATATGTGTCTTGGGTTCAGCAGTTTCAGTCATTTTTATCCTTCTTCATAGCTGGTGCAGTGCTGTGTTTTTGACTTTCAGCCTGGGAACAGCACTGATAACTATGATGGTTTTTGTTGCTACTCAGTAATGTTTACTCTGACCAAGGACTTTCTGAGTCTCATGCTCTGCCAGGGAGGAGGGGAAGCTGGGAGGAAGCAGGGACAGGACACCTGACCCAAACTAACCAAAGAGGTATTCCATACCACAGCTTGTTATGCCCAGTATATAAACTGGGGGCAGTTATACAGAAGGGTTAGATCACTGCTTGGGCAGGCTGGGTATCGGTCGGCGGGTGGTGAGCGGTTCTATTCTCTTCCCTTGTTATTTCCCTTATCATTATTATTATTATTGGTGGTAGCAGTAGTGATTTGTTTTATACCTTAGTTACTGGACTGTTGTTATCTCAACCCGTGGGAGTTACATTCTTTCGATTCTCCTCCACATCCCTCCCGGAGCGTGGGGAGGAAGCGGGGGGAGTCAGTGCACAGCTGCGTGGTTTTCTGGGTTGCCGGCTGGGCTTAAACCACAACAATATGCATGTGTAGTGAAGCCTCATAGAGCTGTCTGTAAAAGCTATTTAAAAGCTATTTAATTGCTATTTTTGTCTCTGTTTTTGAGGTTCTTCAGCATTAACCCATTTCAGAATGAATGATGCTGTATAGGTTGTGCTCTGTTTTTAATGATTACTGCTCAGTGTTCTTTACCTCCTATGTATAGACTGAAACAACTTCACAAAAGGCAGTAGCACTCCCTGTTGCTTGTTCTCACTAACACTGGCACTCACCTACAAGGATTATAGTGAAAATAGAGTTTCTGATGCTTTACAACATATGAAAGTATTCCAATGCCCTTTTCAATGTCATTTGACTGCAAGTGAAGAAAATGACAGGCCGAAGGAGTGCCAATTATGAAAATCTAACCTGATTTTGACAAATGTGCACAGAATTCTCCTACTCTTGGAAGAATTAAGAAAAAATAGTGGTGTCTTAAGGGGCCATATCTGTGTGGGTAAGAAATGCTTAATAATGTGCAGTTATACAGATCAGCCTTCAGGAGCATTCTGTTGTATTGTGTCTGCAGTACGCTTAGTATAACATGCAGCCTGGGCTTTTTACACTCCATGTGTTCCTTTAGTTTATCATTGGTTGCTCAATGTTATCTTTGCATTTGTGAGCATGACAATTGAAGACAGATATCACAGCATGACAAGATATTGAAAGACTGGTTGGGGGTTTATGCGTTTTGTTTTTTTGGGGGGGTTTAATAATCAGTGTTCTTGTTTATTTGAGTTTTCTTAATATTGAACTTGGTTTTGCCTTGAGGTGACTGAGTAGTATTCTAACAGGGTTTTCAGAGCCTGTATTTTAGGAGATAGAGGTGTTACTAGAAGCAGCTCTCTAAAGAAGGAATCCATGCAGTGCGTTTATTAAAGATAAATGATATTTAAGTTAGTTATCAGTCAGTACATATCATGAATTTTTCTTTACTTCTCTTTGTAACCAGGATCCTCAGTCTGCTGTTATTTTATGTTATTTTGTATTTGGTTGAAGATTTTCCCAATAAAATCACTCTGTGCGGGTATGTGCTGTGCAGAGAAGTTTCTGTTAGATGTATGAATAGGAGGTTGCAGAGCTCTTCTGTACAAGAGTAATCATGGGTAACAGCATGGCCATGAAGAGACTGATATTTTGGACCAGTTTTCTATTTTAGCTTGAGACTCATGGTAGCATGCAATGTGTTCCATTCTGCACAGCTTTCGCTTTTAAGATTTTAAATCTCACAAAACTCAGAAACCCATTTGTATTTTTGTACTCCTTGCTTGTCTTGTAATACACTTTGAATTAAAATGCATTCTAAACCAAATTACTTTTAGCTATGATAACTGTATGAAGCCTGAACAGGTTTGCCAAATCCCCTTCATATTTAGGGTTTTTTTTTTATTTAAATGAGGGGGGAAATGTAGTAAGATATAACAGAAAATCACCTGAAAGAGGTGCTGATCTGCTACTTAATATGTTTTTCTATTTTTTTGCCAAACTGTTGCTTGAAAACCCTTTTTCATTCATTTGAACTTAATTCCACTCACCTGTGGAAATGAGAAGCCACTGCCCTATGCATGTTATATTTTGAAAGTCCTGAAGTGCTCAGAACTTATCTCAGTGTGCAATGAGGATAGCAATGGAATACTTCAGAATGGAAGGGACCTCTGAAAAGTGCCTAGTGAAATCCTCTGCTCAAAGGAGGGTTACCGCCAACACTAATAGAGGTTGCTCAGGGCTGTTTCCAGTCAAGTTTCAACTACCTCCAAAGATGGAAATCCCGTAACTCTTCAAGGAGGTGACCACTTTTGTTGACATTATTTTCTTAGGACCAGGAAACATTTTCGTTGTTGCAGTTTCTGTCCACTGACTTTTAAATGTTCTCTCTTCTCACCTCAGAGAAAAGTCTGTCTCTGCCATTTCTGTAACTCCCATTCTCCAGTGGAAGCCTGAAACAGCTGCTTGTTTTGCCAGCTCTTATTTTCTCCAGGCTAAACCCACTGAACCATTTCAGCCTCTCTTCATACCTCATATGTTTCACTTTCTTGTGTGATGAGAGTATCTAAACCAGGTCTGAGTACCCGAGATGCAGTCTGGAAAGTGTGGAATATAGAGAAAGAAACCCAGTTTTTGTCTATTGCAACAAACTGATACGAAATGGCAATATCTGGGGCACTGGTTATATCCAGTGCTCTGTCTTCATCTAGCTTGTGTTAAAAGCATAAAATCACAGAGTACTGAACTTCCCATAAGTCTCTGCTAAGACTTATAAAATGATTTCTGTTCCCTAAATGATCTCACCATGCACAAGACAGGCAGCCCTTGTATGTTTCTTCCCTAATCTTGTATGTGGGTTGTAAAATGGTGGACAATTACAAGACGGGTCATGACACAGTCAGGGACCTGTGTTAAATATTTGCTTTTAGTAACTGTGTACATAAGTGAACCAGGAAAACAGTGGATAAAGCCCTATCTGGTCACGAATGGTATGTTTTGCTTATGTTAGTTTTAGTGACTAGAATGAATCCGGATGGCTTTTCTAGACTCTGTAATAGAGAGTGAATACTTTGAGTGATATTTCAGTATCAGTGGAAAAAAATCTGATTTCAGTTTTATCAAGGCAAATACAATCTAATTTGGGATACAAATGCAGTTTCTGGTTCATTCAGCATTGTAAGTGATCCTATTTGAATAGACAAAGGAACAAATTTCTTGTTCTTCATGTTATTTAGATTGAAAGGTATTTCTAATGCATCATTTGTTCTGTTATTGTGCATCATGGCAGGCTTGATGCAATTATTCCTAATTTTCCTATAATAGGTAGCTTAGTAGAAATAGGAATGTTCCTAGAAAAACTAACTGTACAACTCCCTGTGGATAGCTTGGTCCATTGCTTCCTTCTCCCAAAGTATCTCTGACACTAAGTAAGGTACATAATGGCAATAAGTTTAAAGAAAGACACTGTCAGAATCCATGTCATTCCACAGAAGTAACCTTAGTTTCTATTTTAAACCCTTCTAACTTGTCTTGCCCTACCATGGATAATATTCTGTTCTTGTTAATTTAACAAACATTTGTAATAAGACCATAAACAATATTTTCATCAAAGCACTAGTACAGTACAATCCATGTAAGCCATAGGTGGAATCAGGCACGTTCTTTGTGAGTGGTAACTTGAACCACATATTTTGGTTTTGTTCATTTTTAGGGACTAAAGAACACTTGTGCTTTGTAAGAGGATATGCCATTAAACTTCCTCAAGGTAAGCTGCTTTTTCTGCCTTTTTTATGTAGATCTTCAGTGGGAGACTACTGAATAATTAACTTTGCTTTCAGCTGGACTGTGATTATTGTTTGAAATATTTTAACATGATGTTAACTTTATTTTCATTCATTTCTATACCAGTAGCACTTTTTGTTCACATCCCAAGGGATATGGGGCCTTCATTTGTCATTTTCAGGCTTTTTAACAAGATGGTAGGGGATACTGTTACAAATTTTGGTATTTAGCAATGATGTTTTATGAGATGTAGTTCAAGTTTTGGTGAACACTGAAGAAAAGCATGCAATAAGTGAGTAGTATTAGGTTTTTTGGCAGAGAAACCTTTGAAAGAGGAAAAAAAGATCCCAGCCGCAGTGGGAACATAAAGAATTTATGTTCTATGTGTTGAGAATTTAAAGAGAAAGGTCAAAATCTAGAATAAAGGTTTTTGCCGTTTAACCTCTGTGAGGTTTCAGCACTGTAAACAGACTTATTTGGTTTTTAAGATACAATTAGGAAGTGTAGGAAATTAAGTGCTGCTTTGGTCATCTTTGCAAAACCTTTGTAAGCCGTGCAATGCTTAGCTATAAATCTTTTAGTTTCTGTGTCAGATTCTACCATGATCACAATGGCTTGAGATTTTGAGAAACAATGAAAGATAGCATATGTCTTCAGAATTAGTCTGCTCTCTCTCTGCCATGGGACTCAGCCTCAGCAAGAAGATGCTATGGGATACATAAATCGAGAAAGTAACCTGTCTGTCTCCTGATTTGGTATGCTAGAATACAGCTGTCTCTGTGGTAATATGTTCTTTAATGCTTCGTTGAACCTGTTCTTAGCGAAATGAAAATGCATGTGTTTGACACACTTGCGGAGGTGGTTGTTGATCAAAATAGTTTTTCCTAGCTTTTTTTTTTTTCCTCATTCATCTTTTCATGGGCATCATTATCCATTACTTACAATTATTCTGAGAACAATGCCTGAAGCTTCTTTTCTAAACTTGTTTGAATATGCCAACATAATGTACACAGAGCAGTGTCCTTTTGGACATAGGATAAAAAATTAAAAGGACTTCAATTTTTTTTTTCAGTTGGCTCCAGCAGCTGGACTTCCCCCTGTATTAAAATCACTTCAAATCTCTTCTCAGTTCTGTTCAGAAGCCAAATTACCTCTGAAGGGTAGATAAAGTAAAACTGGCACATTTAGTATTTCTTGATGAGGTGTGTGTATTAAAATATGCAGTTCTCTAAGGCAACATATAAAACATGCATAATCTACTATAATAAGATTCCAGAAAATACCATTATCAAGGGCTGAAATATTTGGAAGTGATATGAAGGAATGTGCAGTGCAGGCCTGACTTCTGTGAAATGAATGTTGGAGTTATCTGTGTAGTTCAGGACAAAATATACCTGCTACTATTGACGCTATTTGCATCATAGTGTGCAGATATATACTGTAAAATCACTGCAGTAGAAACAGTCCCTCTTGCTGTGCTCTTCTTTCTGATGAAGTGTGATAGAAGGTAGAAGAGGGAAGAGTACTCTTATTACCAATATTTTGCAGGGATGAAGAAGGCTGAAAGATGTTAACAGAATTAATCTGGCATTAGACAGATACATGACAGGAAAATGAGTAATTTTTAAAATCTATGTTCTCACAGTATAGTTCCGTATTCTGCATACTTTAAAATTTTTAATAAGATAGAATGATGTTATAAGGGGAATAATTATTTTGCTCAGAATTGCATTACTCTTTTGCCATGGTTTAAGTCCAGCCGGTAATTCAGAAACACACAGCTGCTCTCTCACTCCCCATTTTCCTTCCCCCGGCTCCTGGAGGCATGGGGAGGAGAATCGAAAGAATGTAACTCCCACGGGTTGAGATAACAACAGTCCAGTAACTAAGGTATAACACAAATCACTACTGCTACCACCAATAATAATAAGGGAAATAACAAGGAAAGAGAATACAATATCACCCGGCGACCGATACCCAGCCTGACCCGAGCAGTGATCTCACCCTTCCAGATAACTGCCCCCAGTTTTACATCCTGGGCATGACAGGCTGTGGTATGGAATACCTCTTTGGCTAGTTTGGGTCAGGTGTCCTGTCTCCACTTTCTCCCAGCTTCCCCTCCTCCCTGGCAGAGCATGAGACTCAGAAAGTCCTTGGTCAGAGTAAACATTACTGAGTAGCAACAAAAACCATCATAGTTATCAGCGCTGTTCCCAGGCTGAAAGTCAAAAACACAGCACTGCACCAGCTACTACGAAGGAGAAAAATGACTGCTACTGCTGAACCCAGGACACCTTTTCAATAATAGCCTATTGTTACAAAATAAACATTTGACATTGCTACATAATGATAAGGAGTACCCTGTTGTTGCCTCACGGTAATTCTGTTATTTAATCCATCTTTTTCAATAGTCTCAATCTCTGAAAAATTTTTTAATAGTTTTTAGGACAAGATTCTATGTGCTGTGAACATAGAATTTCACATGCAAATTAAACAGACCTAGGATCTAATTATATAATATAGTCGAGCATTAAGAGTTATGGCCCCGAGTAAACCAGAAATCTGAGATGCAAAGAACAGATTTACTGAATGGGACACCTAAGGCAGCTGATTATGTTTAAATTAAGGGAGACGTGTTTGAAACATGGTTTTATCTTGAGTGGGGGTAGCATTCAGCTTGTATCCAGCATCACTGTGTGGCTGGACTCAAGCCTCAAACGACTCCGTGGGCTGACATGTTTCAGCCTTCCATTTAGGCACACAATTAAAAACCACCTTTTTAGAAATACAAATTGAAAGTGTGATTGACCAAAGCAGACAGCTCTCTGCCTTTCTAGTCACAGTGTAATGGTTAGATTACACACCTAGGAAATCCAGGAGTTTAAAGTCCATTGCGGCCAACATGCAGACTCTAGGTTTAAGCATTTAATAGGCTCAAACAAGAATTACAATCTCCCATTGACATCAGGAAAGAAAATCAGTTGGCATGTTGCATACTCATGATTTAGTTCAATTGATATTCACCAGGAGTAAGTGGCAAAAGATAATGTTCTTTTTCTGTTGAGGTTTCCTGATTCTTAGATATTTTACTTGCCACAGAGGGGAAGAAGAGATGGTTCTGATGGGAAAAACATGAGTGTGAGCCCACAGTAATGGTTATAGTACCTCACACACAGATCTATTATCACATATATTGAGCGGAGTGTTAAAGGTGATGTGTGATCTGTTTATTTTTAGAGGGCACTTTTAACTTACTTTGACTTCATGTTATTTGTTGTTCTAAGTACTTTTTTAACAAATTACATGGTAGTAACTGGGCTTACTATTTGTCAAACCATACATGGAGCACAACCTTGCCCCCTGGACAACCATACTGCTCAGGTAGTAACACCCAGAAATAGGCAGTCATGTCTCATAGGAGAGGGAACACCATATGGAACTTTATCTTCCATTGCCATTCATTCATTTAATTTTATTTATCATCTAAGAAACAAATAGAATGAATTACGAAGGATTCTTCTTGGGCACACAGGAAATGTGCTAAAACACTTTCACTTGTATAATTTGGAGATTGGATAGATACAGCTTACAAACATCTATATGCCGTGTATTAATATTAATAATAAAACCAAGAATATATTGCTTATAAACTTGCCTTCCTTGTTTATAATATAGCGGAAAGTTGAAGGTGCAGGTTTTGGGAGGGCTGAATATTATGTTTTATCATTTACTTTTTTATAATTTCAGATTCTTATTTCCTGTGTATGCACAAATTTACTGTTGTAGCAAATCTGGCTTTCAGGTCTTTGTGGTTCTGTTGGGTTTTTCAAGGGGGCATGAAGGCATTTGTAGCATTACTAAGAAAAACATGAATGTGAAATCTACAAAGATTCTGCCTATAAAGAGAAAACATTACATTGTCAAACTTAATGTCTGATCTTTAATACAAATCTGGGTTGAATAAGAAACTAAATACACAGTTTTGAGTTTCTGAATTTCTCTGCCAGTGAAGCAATAACTGTCTTCATTGTAGGTAAGTACTAGTTGTACTGTTCCTACAACAGTGGGTACCTTGTGAATGGCTCCAAACTGCTATCATCAATTCCTGACAGACTTCTGGCACAACATTGCTGGCATTTTCTGTGAATAGTGTTGAATTCACCTTGTGATTTGAAACACTACTGAACTTGTTTAATTAAATGACAGCATAAAATTAATAGAAAATAATATTATCTGCTGTCTTTATAATACAGCCATCACACCAGCGCTACAACTAACAGAAAAAAATCACTGATTTCATAGCATGCTCATCATCCTCTCTTTGCCCCCTTTTTTGCCTATGTGCTTGCTTGTGTTGAAAAATGTAACCCTTTTCGTTATTTTTTAAAAACAACTCTTGCAAAATGTAACCCTTATTTATTTGTTATTTAAAAAGATGACTGCAAACTGTAACCAGAGAAGTAAGTAGAACAATAATTACTGTGGGAGCTGCATAACTGGCAGCACTTAAAGCAGAAAGAGAAGTAAATATATCACAACAAAACCCAACTTTTTTTTGTTGCACGTGCCTCAAGGTGTCTGTGGCCACAGTTTGTATTGACTGAAATGCCTTTTATCATTCTTAAACATAGTCCTGCTATACGCAATCAATATTGGGGTTGGGGGGGTTATCTTTTTGACAAAACCTGCAAGATTGATTACCTGCATAAGTATTATTTTTAGAAATAATTCATCAAGACTTTACAGACACCTTGATGTCTGTGATAATATAAACACATTTTGAGCATCCCCTCTCATCCCCATCACAGCTAATCTTGCTTTAGCCTTTTACAACATGGAAAGAATTAATATATCAAGGCAAATGAAGCAAGAACTGGCTATGCTGCTATATCCTTAAATTCATACAAACTATTCAGCATCTCTTCATAACAATCTGGAAGCCTCTGCACAACACAAGCATGTTTTTGTAGATGTAGCTGGTCAGAGCTATACAGTTTAAACAGCTAAAGTATAATGGAAGAAATGGATGAAGATAAAATACTTGAAGACATAGTAAATTATGACAGTATCTTGTTTCTTTACAGCGTAGAGAATAATACTTCACAGTAAGGCTAATAAGAGTATCATTAATTCCCCTGTGAAAAGTCAGTCTAAGATAAAAAGACAATTTCAATGAAGAAAGCAGATCAGTTGCGTACCAGGGTAGAAGCCCACCATTCTATCACAGAGAAGCTGGCCATTCTGTACCTCTTTCAGAAGAATAAAATCCATATTTTCATTTGCCAAATTTTTTCTTGAACCATGAAAATTACTGTAAATGAGTATGAAGATGAGAACAGAGAAACTGAATGTTCTCAAATGGAAGTTCAGAGGCAATTTAAGCTGTTCTTTTAAGAAGTAAAGAATGTCCTGATGAAAAGATTCTCACTGTGTGGTTATACAAGCGTTCCAGGCAACTTATAGTTGTTCTTACTCTACAATTGTGTTTTTAAAGTTTATAAATATCTCAAATTGGTTGCTGTTGCTATGAAGGCCAATTTGTAAGAGTAAATTCTTGTAGCTTCGGAAGCTTCAGTGCAGTGTTTTCATAGTTCGTTATTGTGGATTGTTAGACTCATTTCTGGATCGGTGTTAACCTGGTATATGTGGGGTTTTATTTGGCCTGGGTTAACTTAATGTGCATTGCAATCAGAAGGGATGATTTCATAGGGGATGGATTGCTTACTTTAATCTTCCTGTAATATTTTAATATTACATTTTTAGAAGCGTTCACCATCAGTTGTTCCTGTACTTATCCTTTTCTACAGAAAGGAAGGGAATTCAAACTACTTTTTTACCCATAACACATTATTTCTTTTGCTTTACAGATACTATGTATTTATTGGTAGTCCTCTGTAGAACTCCCTTTCAAATTCAAAATTTGGGTCATTCTGTGGAAGCAACAGAGCTTATGAGTTAATTATAAGCTGTGAGACAACATGTATTATTTCGAGAGGAAATTGTACAGGAACGTAAAGGCAGCGATGATAATTATATGGTAATTTTTGTTATAAATCTGAAATGTTCATATGATAACTTATATCTTGCCATATGCATCTTAAGATGAATATCAGTGCTACTTCAATATAAGCCAGAAGAGATACATATGATAAATGAGAAAGGAATTACATTATACTGAAATAATACAGGGTAGAGCCAGCCTAAAGTGATAATCGCTCTCTAGGTTCCCAGATGAGTCAGGCCCTGAGGTCGTGTAGGTCCTGTAAGAATTATATTGCCAGGGTAAGAAAGCCTAGAATTTAGTATGAGTTGTGAAGGAAGAGGGTGTCCACATCAGTGGGGCTCTTCAGGCAGGAGTGCAGAGCCACACCTTGGGTTGTTGGTAAGTGGGCTGCTACCACCTGGGGCAAATCTTGTACTGGAGGAAATAAGCTAAATTCTGCAAAGATTAATTAGTAACTGAGGAGAACACTCCCCCATATGCTTCAGATTAGCCATTTTACCATTTCCTATACTCTGGTTTCAAAATCTGAGTGAAGCACTGTGAATGCTGCGGTTTTTATTTTTTATTTCTTCAGCAAGCAGCAATGAAAATTCTGACAACTTAATCAGCCAGTATTATGTAAATGTGTGGAAAATTACAGTAGTTGATGTCTGAAGAGGGTTGTCAGCACTGAAAGTGTTTATAATGTTTGATAAAGTTATGAGGGTTTTTTGCAAACAAGTAAAAATAAAGCCTGTATCACCACAATTTTCTATACATTTATATTTTGGATTCTCAGTGAAATCCGGATTCAACAGAATCAGATTTTCTAATTAGTGCAACTAGATGGCCAGTGTTTAGTGCTAGCACAATATATTGTATTGATTTTGTTCAGTCTTTCCAATCATTGCTATGCAATGACAAAAATGGAGAAAAAAAGCTGGCAAAAGGCAGAGACAATCATTACCACCCAAGTACCTTCAACACAGTGATTACTGCATAAGATGCTGTCAGCACTGTTAGCTTGGTGCAGAGAAATGTACAACAGAACCTTGTGTTGGCACCTTGGTTGTGTTGTTGCTGCTGGCTTGAGGTGCCACAGAATCAGGCATCATCTGATAGAGTAGCAAAAGACATGGGTGCAACTCGAGTCTGAGAAAAGGGTGAGCTATTATATCATTGCTCCTTGGGAAATTTCTTCATGGTATATTGATATTAGCAGGAGAGTAAATGCAGCTTAGGAGATGCTTTGATCTGTGAAGTCAAGTAGAGATGCAGATTTTCTCCTGATGTGCTATACCATCTTATTCGTCATGTTGATTTCACAGCATGGTGAGAAAACAGTAATTCAAGCTTGTGCAGCAGCTTCATCTTGATGAGGGGGTTTATTATGCTGAGACTTCTTGTACAGGTGTTTCATCTGAAAGAGGCAAAACCATATGAGAAAGGTAAGGATAATGGCTTAGAAAGTGCATTAGCTTTGGGGGGGTCCAGTTTGTGCTCCAGGGGTAGTGTAGCCACATGGAAGAAAGCAGAAAATACGAACCTACTTATCTGCCTCTACAGAGGGATGTATACATGTAATGTCTTCACTATGTTTTGGTTTAGGCATTCTTTGACATCTAACAGCTAAATGTCTCTGAAATATCCTAAGTGAGCTTTAAATGAGACTCAGAAATAGCCCTTCCACTCAAAGAAAAACCATTATGGGTTTAAGTATTATGAATTAAATGCATTAGAACAAGCTATAGTTATCTAAGGCTTATACAATCCAATGCAGAACCTGGAACGCAAGAAGCTGTGAAGGGAAAATAGTTGCAGTATATCCACCATGGGGTGTTAAAAGCAAAGCCAGCATCTCTTTGTGTTGATGAGTGTATCAGGATTTTTGTTGATTTCACTGTGAAAAGTTAAAGAATATTAAGGTTGTCATACTGAAATACATTTGTATTGCAATTTGGAACATAGTATGCTTATAAACACACAAAACAAAAATTGGCTGACAGTGTACCAAGGATCCAGAACTGTGGTTCAGACTGTTAAACATAGTTTAATTATTTCAGTAGTTTTCCACCCTGTTGATTACATTTCATTTTTGGCAGGCCAAAAAAAATACTAATTCATGGATTCTTTAATTTAATTTCAGCCTTGAAGCCTGTATGGTGTGATTCAATGAACTTTGATTTTTCATTACTCTAAAATTGGAAGCTGAAATGTACTATCGTATGTAGAGTCAGAGAATGGCTTGGTTTGGAAGGGACCTTAAAGCTCCTCCAGTTCCAACTCCTGCCATGGGCAGGGACACCTTCCACTAGAGCAGCTTGCTCCAAGCCCCTGTGTCCAGCCTGGCCTTGAACACTGCCAGGGATGGGGCAGCCACAACTCCTCTGAGCACCCTCTGCCAGTGAAGAATTTCTTCCTAATATCAAATCTAAATCAACCCTCTTTCAACTTGAACCTATTCCCACTTGTCCTGTCACTACATTCCCATGTAAGAAGTTTCTCTCCATCTTTCCTGTCAGCCCCTTTAACCACCAGAAGGTTGCTATCAGGTCTTCCCAGAGCTGTCTTTTATCCATGCTTAACCACTCTAACTCTCTCTGTCTTCAGGGGAGAGATGCTCCAGCTCTTGAACTGTGGCCTCTTCTGGTCTTGCTCCAACAGCTCCACATCTTTCTTATGTTGGGGGCCCCAGAGCTGGATGCAGGACTGTGAGGGGGGTGTCTCCCCTTAGCACAACAGAGGGACAGAATCCCCTCTCTCGACTTGCTGCACACACTCTGGGGAATGCAGCCCAGGATATGGTTGGTTTCTAGGCTCAAAGTACACACGGCCAGGTCATTTTGAGCTTTGTATTGGCCAGCACCCCCAGGTCCTTCTCCTCAGGGCTACTCTCCATCCATTGTCTCCCAGCCTGCATCTGTCCTTGGGATTGCCCTGACCCTGACGCAGGACCTTGCACTTGGCTTTGTGAAACTTCATGAGATTTGCATAGGTGAACTCATACAGAATTGCATTTCACAGTGTGAAAATTTTTCTTTTTGGTGTTGTGGGATACCTGCATTGTTTTGAAATAGAAGAAAATACTTTTTTTTTTTTGCAAATGAGCATAAAAACAACGATTTGATGTTGGGTGCTGCCTCAGATAGCCTTTTCGGGTACAACTGCTTTAGCTCCCGAACCTTTCTGCAGTGTTGACACACATCAACAAAAATAAATGCACACTCAATTATCTGAATTACATTCAGAGAGATTCTCATCTCTGTTTTACAAAAGAAGAAACTCAAATGGGGGAGAACCATTTCTGTGCCAATTACTACTAACAGGGCGGCTGAGAGAAAGGGGCAGTTCAAGTTGGAGTTTGGGGGGCGTTGGTTGTTTGGGGGTTGTTATGTTTCTTAGTTTGTTGTCAAAATTCTTACGTATTAGAACATTCGATTGCTGGGGGGGCGGGGGGGAGAGGGATTGCACTCAGTTCAGCCTCTGCATTTGAATTTAGTCCTGCAAAAAACAGTGTACAGAATTTAGATAATGATGCTGCTACTTTGAAGTGGGAGATGAATTCCAGGAAGACAGCAGACAAGGTGTTCCTGTGGTTCCTATTTACATTTTCAATTATGCCCTATTTTAAAATCAGTGCATTGTATTGCAAACACTGCACAGTGAATAGAAATATATTTTTCTGCTTTCTGAAGTAACCAATGTGTATTCACTCCCATAGCATAGCTAAGCATTTACTGCTGTCTCTACAGAAATAGATTTAGGATTGATGAAATCAGGTACACTGCCATTCCCTGTTTAGGAGTAAGCGAAATGTATACCCTTTATGGATTTTGCTTTGCAGACTACCTACAGACATCTGGGATGTAGCTTTCATGATGAGAACATACTCTGTTTCATCCACTCACATACAATCAATTTTAAATAAACCATAAAACAGTTTTGCACTAAAAAGTTTTCTTACCTTACAAATTCTTTTTAAGATGTATACATCCTTAAGTTACTGGAAGATAATGAGACGTACTCTTCCATGTCACCAAGATGCTTATGGTCATAGTTAAAATAGTTGCATATTTTCCATCTTTTGTATTTGGTGTCTGGAAGTTAAGATGGTTCTGTGTGTTTGAGAGAATAAATTAAAACCTTCAACACAGTGATATCAAATGCTTGGTCTAAATTTTCAAGTGTAAGAACTGAAGGGTGTATTTTCTGTATTTGTGATAAAATATAGTCCAAGCTATAGAGTTTCAGATGTATTAAATGAGTCTAGCACTCATCTACTGCCTTACTCATTTCCATGACTTTAAAACCTTGATTTTTTCATCAGGATGTTCCAGTCTCCATTCACTTTTTTTTTGTGCATGTGTGAGTGCAAGTAATGTTCTTAACTGACTGAATGGAAGTAAAAATGCAGTGTCTCTTGGAGTGGAAGTGGGAAGAGCTGCAATAATATTCTAAATAATAGTTCCTCTTTATCTAATTTTCTTATTAAAAGGAGAAAATGGCTGCTCTGTGACTATGCATGTCTCCTGCCACTACACAGCTCTAATCAAAAGTCTTTGTCTACTGAATTTTTCCCAAACTCTACAGCATAAGGAACTTCTGTCAGAGAGGATCATTTAAATCAAAATTGATGGTACCATATTCTCCAAACAGGAAGTATCTTTATTAAAAACCAAAACAAACCCACAAACAAAAGAAACCAAAATCTTTCATTTGCATTAAAATATGACCTACAGCTCTAATATATTTTTAAGATAATTATGTCAGGGGAAAAGAAAGAATCCTTATAAAATTAAGGATTTATTGACACTATTCTTGGGATGAAAAGTATTCTAAACCATATGTTTCTTAGATGCACTTTGCATGAATATGAAGTGCTTTCAATTATTAGGAATTATTCCCAGCTCCACAGTTACGTACTTTGCCCTGTTTGAGTACAACTGCAGAGATTGTTATTAAAAAATACAAGCATTCAGAAATCCAGGCTTTTCACTGGAATTCTGTATTAGCATTTTAAATTGTACTGTTAACAATATCAAAGCACATATTAAAGAAAACCATAGCTCCTTCTAGTGACCAACAACCCTGTTTGAAGATGCTAAAATTGTTTTCCAGATCATGTTAAAGGACAAAGTTGTGAAGCTCTCAGGTGTTCCTTACATTATTCCAAAGTAGAGATGAGTGCTGTTCTGGCTTCTTTCCTGATTTTCATATTCTTCATTATAATCACCTAATAAAGAGCAAGTTGAATCTGCATTTAGATTAAGGAGATTTTTCTAATAATAAATTACAAGCTTTTATTCTGTTTAGCAAAATAGGAACCAAAGAAATATTAAGGCTCTTGTTTCTGTGAGCCTTATCTTTTCTGACAAATACCAGATTTCCCAAATTTCCTTCATTTGACTGCAGGATGAGGATAACTGCATTCTACAGCAGCTCTGCTAGATCTAGTTGGAACTACCTGAAATAAGTTCTTTAATGAGGAAAATAGTGCAGGTTTATAAAATGATGACTTCATTTAAAATAAAACAACCAACCAAAACTAACAGCAAAACCCCAACGAAGTCTCAGACTGAAATGACCAGCGATGCACGCTAGGACACAAATTGAAAGTATTGTATACATTAACCTCTTGCTCTGTTATTCTTAGTTGATCACCTTCCTGGTATATAAAAATATCTTAACAGCGTACATCAGGCTTGAAGAGAACTATTGGCAATAATCTGAAGGATTCTGGGGCATGTTGTTAATGATCATTCCCACTCCTTCCCTCATTATCAAGATACTTTAACAAGTTGTCTACAGTCCAGAGTTAAGATCTTTTGCCTTCCATCCATTTTCTGTTTCACAGTTTCTTGTGCAATGTTGCTTCCAAATTTGACACAGCAGTCTTTTGCAAAAAAAATGTCAGCACTGTTCTAACTCCATAACTTGGTACAGATGACCTGATATTAGACAGGGAGGCCCTTGTTCATGTCCTTAAGACAGACTGCCACTCTTGTGAACTTAGGCCAAGCAGCTTTGGCTGACTTAAAGATGCTTCTTTGCCCAGTCCACCAAGTGTATCTCTGTTACCTCTGTCTTTTCAGTCCCCATATAAGAGTGACTGCTTAGAGTGGCTTTCCTACCAAACCTAATTGCTTCTTGTTTGGGATGGGAAGCTGGGACTGTGATGTGTCACCCTAGCCTGGCCTTTCCTTCTAATTCTTTTCCTCATGGGAAATAATAAAGGCTATTTTGTTATCCCAACTTAACAACAATCAATGAAATTAAAATTAACTGTCACCTAACAGAAATGCAAATGTAATCTGCTTTAGTCAGCTCTCTGCCCTTGCTCATCAACAGATACCCATAAAGAGCTCTCTGCCATACAAGATTGCCTTCTATTTATCTCTCTTTATCACTTTATTTCATCTCCTGGGAGTAGTGATGCCTCTTGATTCTTTACAGACCCTTCCTGACTTACGTCAGTAATTTAAGATGATGCTCATGACTTTCACCCAAAAAAAAGGCACTGAATATTCCTGGCAGTCAGAGCAATGAGATGTTGGGTAAAAAATGCCAGCAAAGTACTCTTCAGAAAAAATATACTCTAAAAATGGAATATAGAGATAATCTTATTTCAGCTTATTAATTATGCCCTGTAAGCAATGAATCAAATCACTTTGCTGTATAATACAATTACTGCTGTAATTTGTAGTCATTACAGTTTGTGCTGAGGTATAATTGTGTAATACATTTTATGCAAGTTATTGACAGAGAAGGTCTTAACAACTTTAGCATGGAGACTTACTTTGGGTTTACTATAGTTTAATTTGCAGATGAAAAGCACAATAGGCCTAACAGCTTGTTGTGTCTACCTCTCATAGAGTCATTTAAGTTTGGATCATGCAGAAAGAACAAAGATTAGAAAAAGAGATTTAGGGTAGAAGCGTCACTACGTGGTACACCATTCCCTTTATAGCCCATTGGGTGCTGTTGTGTTGGTGCATTGTGTCATGTGTGCAGACTTAATTCCCTGGTCAGCAGTATAACAGGTTGTTTGGAGACAGTAGGTGTCTTTTCCACATGCAGTGAATTACTTCAAGTAACATTTGATCATTTGGCACAGTCTTCTGCATCTAAGTAATGTTTATTAAACCAATTGTGGTTTCATATAAATACATTTTTAAGTTTCAACTCTCACATCTAAAATGGAGCATAATAACTGCTGTTACAACTTAAGGAGATGTTGCAGGGAAGGAAGCACTCTTATATCATCCTCTATGCTTTCTTTGTTACGCTCCTGCTAGCTGACATCTGCCATCCTGAATGTTATTTGTGGTTGGCTTTGTTGTTTTATTTTTGTCTTTGGTGTCCCTCTATAGAATTTTAAGAATGGTTAGTTTCACAGTTCTGCCAGCTCCTTCACAAATAACAGTGATTTTTTTCCTTATCTAGTGTCTCTTTTAAATTAAGGAGAGGGATAATGCTAAAAACCAACAACAGAAGAAGATTGCCTTTTCGGATGTATCGGTGTTCTACATATTATAGCACACAGACTGTGTAGACATCACTTCAGAAGATTTATATGGGTGATCTGTATAAAATGGCTCCTATTGAAAAAAGGTGAGGGGATGATTCTGAAAATCTGTCATGTGCTGTGGAGCCGCTAACTTGGCAGCTTCTGGGCATTCAGATTATTCTGTTCTCAGTGGTAAATATACATCACTTGGGTCAAGTAAATTTAGTTATATAATATTGCTACAAATTATATTTGAATGATGCTTTTCACTGAAGTCTTACCTGACTGCTGAGTGCTTTGGATTTCTTATCTAACCTAGCAGTTAATTTTAAAATGCTTTATGGGGGTAAAGAGTTACTCCAGAAGCTTATAAATGGACCAGTTCTGGGCTAACCTTTGTTTTCAGCCAAATTAAGATTCTGAAGGTTGAGAAACCCCTCAGTTACTCAGATGTTTCTGAAATTTGTCATTGTGGCAAAACAATTACCTTTACATTCAGCCTTAACATATTAAAAGTCAGAGATACATACACTCAGCCTCTACATAGCATAATATTAAAGATATAAATGTTACAAGAGCAAGAAAATAACTTATTGTACTGAGTTGTGTGCATGTTACTATTTGCTTACATCTGTAATATAATTTAACTTATATACACTGCATGAAGCTGCAATATAGTCATAAATTGAACGTGTTCAGTAATAATGATATTGTTTCTCTCTTCTTGATTAAAACTCTGGAATTCCCTTTCCTAACATTCCTCACTAGAGTCTTACAAGTCTGAAAAGGAGACTTTACCATTATGGAAAATCAATGGAGCAGGAAAAGGGAGAATATTATTGGGCAAGTTATCAGCTGCTTGTCACTGCCCTCTTTTGGAGCATACACTGTCATGTATCGGCAATCTGACGATTAAGCAGCTCACGCAAATACTGTCTCATGTGTCTTGGACAGAATTGGATAGAACAGTTTAAATAGTCACTTTTTGCCTTAAGTAAATCAGCAAGCTTTGAATTGAAACACACTGGAGTAGATCAAAAGGGATAGCAACCTCCTTTTAGTGATGCAGTTGATGCCTTAATACAGCCAATGGGCCCATGTGGCCAATCTTCAGAGCATCCACTTTGCCCAGCTCAGGATCCCAAAATGAAATACACTCTCTTTACCTCCATGAGCAGCTGCAGCATATATGATTGTGCTCATTTGAAGTCAGATACTCAGTTCACTTGAAATTGCCAGGATATATGAATTCTATCAGCTACATGCAGAGTTTTGTCATGTATTCTTTTCTGATATATCCTCATATCAATTTGAAAGGATACTTTCCTCTTTTGGTGTGATGCATTAAAATATGTTACATCTCAGAAATTGTAGTCCTCTTGTTGCAAATATGACCTTCATGTAAATGTAAATAAATCTTGCTATGTATAGCATAGATTAGCCCTAGAAGGATGTATAACTTCTCATGTATCCAAAAGAAAAACTGGTAGCTCAGTTTTGCCTGAAGAATAGCTACCTCATGGGAGCTACATACCATTTACATAAAATCCTAATGCTTTACCTTTATTAGGTAATAAATCACATAAATTTGACTACCTTAAGCCTGGGAGAACATTCCTAATTGAGAGCTCTAACGAGAAATTTTAAAAAAGAAAATAAAGAAAAAGCAAACCGGATGCAAGATTTTATCAAGATGCTGCTCCAGGATGTCGGGATCAATAGACACTATGTTTCATGGCTCTGTGACTGCCATTTTGGTGGTACTTGAGTGCCTTATTGACTGCACTGCAGGTGTCATTATTGGACTATTGCACTTTGTAAATATAAATGAAATATGTAGATAAAGTAACTTGAGCAAGTTGTCTAAGCCATTGAACTTTGTCTTCCAATTGCTGGCTAGTGTCCTTTTTCTTCCACCATTCTTTTTCCTGGTCATTAGAAGTTATTTTAATGAATAAGTCTCTTTCTGTCTTTACCTGTCATGATGTTATAAAAGGATCCAATGCATCTCCTAGAACCCTTGAACAGTGACCTTGGCTGTTTCATTATATTGGAATATTGAACAAATAAGTTCAGATTGCCTCAGAGACCAAAATACTTAGATTTCAATATTCTTAAGCAGTTAGTAGTGTGTTATTTTATAACTGCATCTATTTCTGAGGATGGCTTTTCATAAAAAATGAATATTAACTGGTGAGCTTCAAGGGAACAGGGGATCTGGTAGAACTGCTTGTGCTTGTAACCTACTGTGAATACAATTCTCTGTAGTGAACGTAATTGAGATTACATGTGCCCAATAAGAGGAAGGGAGGTAGAAAGCAAATGTTTTTTATATCTGACTGAAGCTATAGTGTCTAGGAAATGCATAGTGATGATGATGGAAAAACAACATTCTCTGGTTAAGCTGATACTATATAGAAACTATAATAATTTCCCCATACTTCCTGTTACTTTTGCAAATTTCTTATAACTGACCATTGTAAATGAATATGGTTTTGTGCATAGTAATAATTTCCAAATATAAACTCCTGAGAGTTACATATGATGTCTTGCACCTTATTTCAGGAAGAGTATAAGCAGTTGCACTCCTTGTTATTTGCTTGCAACCTCTTTTTTAAGCTGCTTCAGAAAAGAAAAAAACAATCATAAGAAACAAAATAAAGTTATTCCATTCTTTTCCTTGATGCAAACTTTATCCTCAGAATGCAGGATCCAAATTGTAGTGTCTCTTCGAAAAAAAAGTGGCTAATGTTGCTATGGTTACAGAACCATTCCCTTTGCTTTGCTTTTCTGCCTTAGTAATGAAAGGGGAAAGAGGGATTTTTATTCATGATTTGTATGATGCTTTGCAAGGGAGACTCATCTCTCCCTGTATACTTCATATACAGCTTTCTTAAACTGGAGTATTTTGGGGTTTGGTTATTTCTCAAGGTGTTTATCCCTCTTTTCTTAATAAAGTTGATGAAAAACTAATGTAATCTTAAAAAGCTGGAGTGAAATTGTCAGTTTCACTCACAATCCAGCTCAGATGAAAGAGAGATTCAATTTCCATCAGTCTAATCCCCCTCAGCTATACAACACTCAGGTTGCCCGGAGCTACCTTAGTTTATTGAATTAGCTTAATCTCAGGAGTGACTGGCACAGCTATTTAATTTTTTTGCACAAGGTATTCTTAAGACTCCTTAAATGCATGTGGAATAGACTAAGTCATGCTCTAGGGTGCCCAGCTTTACTCCATTAGGTTACTGGGGTTTTTTTCTCTTTGTACTTTTGTGAGCAACTTACAGTTTCTTCTCCTTCCACTAACACAAATCTCTTGGAACCCAGAAAAAAAGTCTATGATGTTTTGCTTCTCTGTGATTCTTCCATAGGCTGACAAGTAATTTCTAGTATGGCTGAATTTAAATGCTTGTGAAAACTATTCCCATTTTCTTATCAACAAAGCATCATCATCAGCACATCTCGAGGATGAAAATACATTTGGAAGCAGCCACCAAAAGAGCAATGCAACTGAAATATTCTCCTCAGGACAATAAGCAAGCTCTTTAAAGGTAGCAATGATATGATGTAAATGTACTCTCTAAGGACAGAATAACTGATGCATTTCCCTGGGGATCATTCTGATTCTGCTGCAGAAAGCTTACTGTGAAATGATAATGCAAATAAAGACTAGAAACTGTGTAAGGGGTTTGTGCTTTTATTGTGGGTTGTTTTGGTTTTTTTAACTAACACGACCCCCCACCCCCCCCAACCTAATTTAAGAATGACCTTCCATTTTACAGAAGCTGAAGACCAAGCCTACTTCAAACAGCTCCATTAGGAAGAGAGTTTTTGCTGGCTGCCTTGACAGTGCATACATTTGAGGTGGGGATGTTAGCATGGCCATTATTAATGTTTCCTGCTACTTTTTTTTAGTAACAAATAGTTCTGACTGTCCTGTAATGCCAAGCAGCTATATGAATTTCTCCAGTCTGAATGGCTTTTCTATATCTATTATACACACTCAGATATATATTCCCTTTAATGTTTTTTATTTCATTCTATTATTTCAGCCAAAGTAGTTGCAGATGTCTCTAAGTTAACTTAAGGAAGTAGTATAGTGCTGGTGTGTTGGCTTGGGGTTTTTCAGTTTGGATATTACTGTCCCTTCATTCTCTCAAGCCTTTGCTTTCTGGAAAACTTAAAGATTAGTGCCGAAACTTAATCTGATAGCCTTTAGCATGACTACACCTTTGCTGACCCTAGGAAAATGTACCCATATTTTCTAAATCACAAGACTAAGAATTTCAGTTAACTCTTAGGAAGGTACACTGTTACTGTAAGCAAGCCCTTAAGAATGGGGCTTTTTTTTTTGCCTGAGCAGACTGGATATTGTCTGTTCTCACACAGCACCGACATGTCCAGACTCTTAATGAACCATCTCTTCAGACTTACCGAGCATGCACCAACTGCCACAGCTTTGGAAAGGGAAAGGACTGGAAATATGCCATCCTGGAGGGCAACAGCAGCTTCACAGTGCTTTGAACTGGAAGGAGAGGTGCAGAGAAAGAGCCCTTGGTTAGAACTGGGAGCCTGTATTCTTAGTAATTCCCTGCTGATACAATGAGAAAATAGATTGAAAAGAACAAGGTAATAAGGTAGGATCTGTGTGTCAGGGACATAAGCCTAAAAAAGCAACAGCTAGTGTGACCTTGGTCTTGCAGCATTAGTTTTACAGCTGAACAGCAGAAAAAGGACATGAAGCAGTTCCTGCTGGAGATATAAAGCTTCCATAGATAGTTAGATTTCATGCCAGTTGCTGACACAAGAGAAGCGGTGGGATAAGAGGACCTTTTGTGGTGTGTAGACATAGCTAGAGACTTTTCAACACTGTTGGAAAGAAAAATATCCTTTTTTTGCAGTACCAGTTGACTGGGCTCTTGAGAAATGGAGTGGAATGGAGGGGAGTAACTGCAGAAACTTTAGAAATAGAAGCTAAAGGTTGAGAATTCAAGAGGACTGCAAATATGAAGGTGAGTAAAAAGAGCTGAGAGGAGTCTAAAATTTCAGGAAAGGGAAGCAGGGGACCCAGGAGACTTTCAGACTGCAGCTGACAGAATAAAGATTAGGAAGGGCAGAATAAAGAACAGGAAAGAACATAGTAGAAAGAATCAAGTTTTGGAAGTAGGAAAAAGAATTTATCCACATTATCTTCTGGAGTCTGCATTTAGAGCTGGACAACAGTAGATAAATGAGCTGCTGAGTGTCAGACTGCCCAACCCACGTGTACCAAAGAGATAGTGACCCTGTCACTGGTTTGCTGCTACTTCTATGGAAGTAAACATCCAATGTTTAGCTGTGTTTCTTCAGGGAGAGTCTAACCATGAGTTTCTTAAACGTGTTCAACTTTTAAAGTAACCCAAGAGGGGTTAATGTACAACACAGTACAGATGATATTTAACTGCCTACTGTTTGTAGTGACTGAACAGCACACAAATGACATTGGAGCCTCAATAAACGATGGCAGATATAAATACTTGATTTAAAACCCCTTATCATATGCTTTAAAAATACTTTTCCATTTCTGTCCCAACGTATCATGGAGGATGCTTTAAACTACAAGTTTTTCTGATTCTTACCATCTTACCAGGTGAGAGACCGCCACAGGATTTGGACTTTATGTGTGATATAACCCGAGTCATAGCTTAAAGACCGTCACTTAGGTGCGTGAAGCTTCTTTGAAAGAAACAGTAACTTGTCCAAGTTTAATTTTTGTATTTCTGTGAAATTTATCTTCAAATGCTTGATTTGAGTTGAGGTTTTGAGAGGTCTCTCCTGATTTCATGAGAAGTAAAACATTTAATTAAAACTGACTTTAAATCTAAAGAAATACATAAAGGGTCGTTTCAGATAACTTAAACGTGGGCTAGGGAAAGATTTCATATATTTGCATATTTTATTACTGGATATAAAAAGCAATTTTTCAAATAAATGCTAGTTCTGAGTCTTCTGCCCATTTATCTGTAAGAAGATCTGGGGATGCAATTTCCAGAATGGTCTGACTTCCTCAGCTGCACTAGAATGATTTTAGCTCTGGCAGCCCAATGTAACTTAATGGGGAATGCTCTGTGTTCTAATTTGTCTCTACTGGTTTTATGCTCAAAGGACAGTTCCTTTAAGATAGCTAACAAAACTCTTCTAAGGGAGACAGCAATATCTTTCCATATCTAAGTGGTTTATGCAAGGATAACATTACTGTCTTTGTCTAGCTCACTTTAAAGTTTCATGCATTCCATCAGTGTTACCACTGAATTGTTTTAAATTATTAACAGTGCTCTGCCTATAATTTTATTTCCTTTGTTGTTTTCTATACTGACTTCAATAAAAGTAACTGAGCAACTGAAATTTAGATTGAAATCCCTTGCCATTTCTAGATAAGCTCCCAGCTACCCCAGTGCCTGAACTCCTCAGAACTGTAAGAGCAGTGCTTACACCAGTATCACTGTGTGCTGACTGCATCCATAGAGAGTTAAAGGAAAGAACATCTTAATGCCTTAAAATATATTCCATTTAAAACTTCCCAGCTGATAACAAATATGCCCTACCAAGAACATGCTCTTCATGCTGTCCAAATATGCAATTTATTAAGGACAATTACAGCCATAATATGTACAAACTTGTGGCAATTTTTTTATAACTGCAGATACAAACAACAAAACCTGAGATAAAGAATCTCTTGGAAAACTATTTATACTTAACAAACCTGAGCATTTGGACAGTGTGTTTCTGACATATATGAATTTTAGATGTCTATGCCCTAAAAGCAAAGGATGATCACTGATGATTATTGACTCTTAGTAAAAAACAGAGTGATTATTTATTTTTACTAAAAAAGAAGGGCGATTATTGATTGATCCAGCCTACTGTATAAACTTAGAGCACACTGAATGATAAGTTTTGACTAAATGTAAATAAAGGTGCAGCGGAGGCGGAGGAAATCTGCAGAACTTCAGCTTTCGTTGCCAGGTGGAAACTCATTAAATCTGCACATGCTTGAGGAAGTAGTGTATATATTCTGTGCTGCTATTGAGACAATCCCCACAGAAATTTCCCTGTTTCATCTGTCTGATAAATGGCGATATTGGAAAAGAATGTGGTTCTTCTCCAGGCAGCTGTGCAATTCGCTGCTTCATGCTTCCTTTCTCTTTGTGCTATAAGGATGAAGCCTATTGCCTTAGACATTTACAAATCAAATCTTTTCATGTCACTAACTGCTCTTAGAGAAAAGCACAGATGTAAAATCCCTGTTTGTCTCTGCAGAGAGGCTAGCAAATGGGCTACTAACAGCAAGGCTCACCACTCTTTAATCAGAATCTATGCTCAAGAGCATTACTACAATACTTGCTATGGAAAGTGTATTGCTTAGAATAGCTTTTCTTTTGAACATTGGAAAACAACACTAGATTTAAAATAATGTAAAAGAGACAAAACTGTAGAATGTCTCACTCTTTGCTTGAAGTCCTGTGCGTCCAAGAGAAAACTATCACTCCAGCCCCCTTTCCTCCCTGTACAGCTTTGTGAGAATTCCGATTGCAGCAGCTGGGCTCTGGTTTCTAGCAGTGCTGCAGAACTGTGTGGAATCTGGGGCATGGGGTGTTAGGGCCTTGTCTGGGTTTGGGGCTTTTTTGCTAATTGCGGAACTATGGGCATTCCTTTTGCTGCTTGCTTGTAGGACTGCCAACTACACATTTGGGGAAGGACTGCATGTTTTAAGAAGGCTGCTGGCAGGGCAAGACCACTGCCTGCATTTCACTTGGCTTTCAATCACTGGTGCTGGACATAGACTTATAGAATCATAGAACAGTTAGGGTTGGAAAGGACCTTAAGATCATCAGGTTCAAGCTCCCCTGTCATGGGCAGGGACACCTCGCACTAAACCATCTCACCCAAGGCTTCGTCCAACCTGTCCTTGAACACCACCAGGGATGGAGCATTCACAACTTCCCTGGGCAACCCATTCCAGTGCCTCACCACCCTAACAGGAAAGAACTTCTTCCTTATACCCAATCTATACTTCCTCTGTTTAAGTTTGAACCCGTTACCCTTTGTCCTGTCACTACAGTCCCTAATGAAGAGTCCATCCCCAGCATCTGCTTCAACACACTTTAAATTAGTTTGGAGTTTTTTAAATTGAAAGTGCAACTCTGTGCTCTTATTCTCTTTGTGATAGTAGATAAACTGATTCAGTACTGTTTTCCTTTCTGGTCTTAAATTGTAATGCTTCATAACATGAACCCACTAGTAGAGCACTTAAACTAAAGCAAGAGTGTCAATTTGATTTTAGTTTTATCTAATTCAGAGGAATAGAGCCTAATTCTTATATAAACAAATGGTGATCTTTAGTTTTACCTTCTTGTAACAGAAGATACCAACAGTTTGAAGCATTTTCAACTTTGAACTGAGAAGGATGTCAGTCTGAAGATGGGTCAAAATTGGGACGAAAGCTTAATTTTGAGCTTTTCAGAAGAAGAGGAATCACTTTCAAGTACGGACTTGTAGTTTAATATTTTTGAGATATAAATGTGTGAAGTGGCATAAAGATGTCAGCTTATAAAGTACCTTCCTCTGCAAAAGCACCACATGTTAAAACAGCAAGTGATAAAGCAGGCTGTTTTTGTCACATAGCAGGTAGCATCCTGAGTGACTCCAGCATGGCTTGCCTCTTGTCAACCAGATAATTTGAACAAAAAAAAAAGTTGTGCTTCCAAAACAACAGTGTCTCCTGTCATAGAACTGCTGAATGCTCAGTTCTGCTACAAGGGTTTTTATGAAAGAGAGGCAAGACTAATCTACAAACATCAAGAACCAGGATGTGATAAACTTGGCTGTGCATGGATGTTTAGAGAATCCGCACTGTCAGTTTAGCTGCAAATGTGCTGTGGCAGTCAGGAGCAGTTGCCAGACTTCACTGCAGCTGAAGTCCCCTTTATATTCTAAAAGGCTTTCTTGGTTTTTTTGAGAGGGACAAAGGTTATAAAGTCTGACTTGATGCAGTGTATGTCCCCATCATCTGGGTATTCAAAAAATATGAGTTGAGGCCCTTCAAATCCTTGACAGCTATTCAGTTACATAGGCATGGAGTGTACGCTTAAATTTCTTTCATGTTGTATTTGAGTGGGGCACTTACATGGCATACAGGAGAGGTTCAGAGAATGAACAGAGCAGGAGCAAAGGATTAAAAAGCCTTCTAAACTCATCCTAAAAACAAGATAAATGGCATCTATCCATCTGTTAGATTGCCTGTGGGCATTTTAAACACCCTGAAAACAGGCATCACACCTTTTTGACAGTGTTTGCCGGTAAATGTGTAGTGCCATTCACTAATGAAGTTTTTACACTAATAGAAAATATTACAAATTCATAATTGTTCATACCATGGCTAGAGACCTCCATGAGTTTTGATACTGATATTTTGCAGACTTGTCTGTCAGCACAGCTTTTAGTTATTTGTCTTGCCCTCTGTTCTACTTAAATATAGAAACAGCAACAAAGACTAGTAATAAATGCCACAATAAAAGCAGACCCAGGAGCATACATTTCCCCCTTCACTTAATAAGAAATACACACTGTTACGGCCTCCTGCACACCTTTGTGAAAGCACACTATTACTACTCTGTCTTGGATACATTTCAGCATCCGCATGGGGACTTTTTGCTTACTGCTAAACATTTTGTCCTCCTGATGCAAAGACAATGTGGCATTTATGCAGTAAAGTTGGTTAATTCAGTGCTTTTTCAGCAAAATAACTGATTTTTTATAAATGACACCCTCCTCTTGTCTCTAGCAATAGGCAAGATCTGAGCATCGATACTCAGCGCACCTGTGCGCTGTTCTGACTACAGACAGGACTGCAGCTCTGAGTGGCAAGTTCAGCACAGAGTAATTATGACCTCTGAATTGGATGCTGTGTTTATTTGAACAAGCATGTATCCCAGCTACTGAGGGGCAAATCGGTACTAATTTATACAAGTCAAGGCCTGTCTCTGACTTGGAACAGCTGCTAAAGGCATAAATCAAATATATGGGGATACCTGACAAAAATTCAGATGCTGGCAAACTAGTAGGTGCTTTCAAACATCACCGAGTTCTTTAAGCAGTATTTTTGCTTTCACTTTGATCAATGTAAAGGCATTACATGGTTCCCTCTGAAAATAAAGATATCCAAGACAGATGAAATAAGAGAAAAACCTATAGCTGAATCTATTATTTGCCTCTTTCCTAAGAGGAAAGTTCATTGCTGCAGTGGTCTAATGAGCCACTCTGCGCTGGCACTCAACTTCAACTGCATTCTTAACAAAATAGTTGTGCTTATTATTGTAGTAAGTCACAGAGGCAATGGTTTTTACTTTTGATTCTGCAAGAAGAACTTGAGAGCACTCCAAATTCAAAACTTCAGCAAACCTGGCTGGACAGAATGAACCAGGGAAGGGAAGGGGAAGGCATTTTAAAGTCAGTGTAAAAGCAGGCTACTACCTGAGGCTTCTGTGCATAGCTATTTCAGGATTCAGTGGGTATTTCCCTCTTCATTCATCAAATGATCACTTCCACGGGGAAAAAGGCAATACTGAAAATAAAACTGCTGTAAAGTAATTCCCTGAGCTAATGATAAAAAGTGAGGGAGGCACTGTTTGGGGGGGTATGCTCATGAAAACTGTGACTGGAGCTAGAACTGCTGCAAGACACCTGTGTGGAAACTTTGTGGTGTTCTTTTTTACTTACTCGCTTCCTGGATTTCTGCTAAACCTGAAGTTTTCTGTGGGAGAAGACAGGAATAGCCACCCAATCAAACCTAAGGTCTTGTTTCTCTCACCCCTTAATGAACACCATAAGAACTAGGCTGGCAGTTTTATACAGGTTTCTCATTATTGGGTATTCATGATGGACCTGAAATAACTTTCCCTCTGAAGCTTTATCAGAAACTGACCTTTTCTTCAAACCTCTTAATAAACTGTCACTTTCTGATGAAACTAATCTTGGGAAAAATCCTGGTCACCACTAATAGCAAAGGTTTGCCTCTAACTTCTATTTCACATGTAACTGTGTGACTGTGCTTATATATATATATATATATATATATGTATATATATATATGACTACACACTCACAACCCTTACAGCATTACTGATCAACCATTACTTTGCTGGAATCAGTTTTATTTTCAGCAATAGGCTTTTTCCAAAACCTCTCTTTTATAATTGAAACGTTTTGGGAGCTACAGGTGCAGGCATAATGGAAGCCTAGTGCATTTATGCCAGTATTTTAAACTTCTCAGTGGACCACCTAGATTTAGGGAGCAAATATGCAATAATCTCCATCTCTTTTCATGCCAGCCTAATAGCAGAGAAGCAGTTTTGTGGCTGAGATGCTCCTTTCACCTTGCGGTCACAGCCATTTCACCTAACCTTTCCTGCTTTAGGCACATTTGAGCCATTACTTGGCAGACTTGAGGTGTGGTTTGTGGTTTTTTTCCAAGTGGCATGAACCAGAAGAGACTAGAGAAAACAGAAGAGAATTTGTCTAATAGTGAGTAATACAGTCCTTTCGAGGACAACGCTCCATGTGCATCTGATGCACCACCCCTTCCTCAAGGTCATTATGAAGCTATGACCTGAAATTATCTTTCCTAGCCTGCTGGTTAAGGACTGCCTGTAAAGGATCCTTATGTGTGTATATATATATATGCATATATAAATATAGGGGCTACAGGCCCCTAACTGTGTTATACTTCCATTGTTCAGACATACTTTGTCAGCCTGTTGAACTGTTTAATACCTAAGAAAAACACTACATTTATATTCTTAATGCTGTAGCTCACGCACAATGTCAGGAAAAGTGCATTGGCTTGGTTTACTTCCAAAAAATATTCCAACTAAGTATCTGAGTACATTTCCCATCTGATTAGTTCCAGAAGTTGTGACAAAAGACAAAGTCCTGCGTCAGAAACGGGAGCTGTCTTTCTCCTATGCCAGGTGTCTGTGTGTATATATAAGTAGTGTGTTCGGTTGAGCAATTCCTAGCACAAGAGAAATCAGAAAATGGGAAATTCTACCTGGACCCCTTCTCTACCAGCAGTTCAAGCAAAACAGTGAAAAATAAAACCAGCACCTGCAGTCCAAGCCTATTGATATTCCCAAGCTTGCACCAAGCCTTGTGTGGTCAAAGGCCTGTGTATAAGAGCTGGCACAACCAAGTTCTTTTTAATTTCCTGTTTCTTTAAAGTTAAGGAGTTTCTTCCTGATTGATTAAACAAAAGAACAAGCTCCAGGCATCTTCTCTGTCTTTGAAGCCTTCTATTCCCACTGCAGTCTGACACCCAGATCTCTAGGTGACAGCAGTGACCTCCCCGGGTTCAGCCTAAACCACTGCACTAAATTTCCTTGGAAGTAAGGGAAAAGTGGAATCCATACCACTATCCTGTAGCAGTAACCCCCAGTGGATTTTAAACTCCATGTTACACAGCTTGTATGATTCACCTCATGAAAATAAAATAGACCAAGGAAATACATATAAATACCTGAAAGTTTTAACATGTGTATAAGGATACTCTCAGGATAGATGACATTGCATATAACCATAGTCTCCTCAGGAGCCTGGCATACATATTTGTTAACATACAGCTGAAGAGGATTTTTTGCATAATCACTATGAACATAGGGACTCAAAGGTTTCTTGATCACCGAATACAGCACTTCATTGCTGGGACTGTATCATATAAACTCTCTATAAATATGTTTCATGTTAAATGAATATGCTGATGGGCTCAGTTGTCCCTGGTGTGGGTAGCCCTACCCTCTTCCTGCAAAGACCCCCTCCTGCAGCTCCCCCAGCTCCCAGCACCCTGCCACATTCACCCCTTACAACAGCTAGGGCTTATGTTCCTGTATGCTGCGTATTGAGTATTGTTATTTTAAATTGACAAACCTGGAGTTGCAGTTATATCAGTCTTTGTTATCAGCTTGTCAGTTACTTAATAAACACATTCCATCATCTCTGTGGGAGTTGTAGTCATTTAGATGGTAATTCCTGTTTCACAGGTATGTTCTGCAATAGGTGCCAAATATAATCATCCATACTGTTAGCGGTGATAAATTTTAACAGTTTTCATGTTCGTACATTTCTGTGTACTTTTATTATGTAGGAGTATCTGAATTTAAATTAACATCTCAGATTCATGTGGGCCATCTTCCTCTTGAAACTTCCTATCATGGCTGCACTTCAGGTAGGCGACAGCATCTCAAAGCAAGAAATAACATACTGATGGAGTGGTCATATCTGTTACCACCAGTAATTAGGGTTATCAAAATGGCAACCCAGTTTTCATCCCTACCTGTCAACATAGTTCATTGTGATACTCAGAGGACATGTTAGAGACCTCTTTGTCTACTGAACTCTGCTTTAACTATTAAAGCTGCTTCTTCTCAAGCATGCTTTGTGGGTGATTAGGGACATCTCCACCGCACTAGAATGAATACTGTCCATGTTCTTTATCCCAGCTGTTTAATGTAGCTATCAAAATACCTGTCGTAAGGATCTTACTGATACACCAGTATTTGGGAGAGTTCTTTATAAGGGTCATATGACACTAAATGACATGTCTTAATCCAGTTAAGAAAGTCATCATTTTTGAGCAGTCTAAGCTATGACTGAGTCTTTTAATCCCGGTCTCTTTGCGAAGTGCCCCATAATCTCTGTGGTGCAGTGAAAGTGATTGTACAACTATTTTTTTCCACGGAAGTTTCAGACATTCAGAATGGTTTTGTACAGACTGTCAGCCAGCTGCAGATTACTTCGCAGTTGTCTATTTCCACTTACAGATTGGCCTTCAGGGAGGGAGGAGAGACTAAGTGAGAAGATGGCATTAATGAAAGCTAAACAAGCTTTCCCACATTTTGTATTAGACTCTTAATCTACCCCATCTCTGCCAGATCCTTTTCCCCAGATAAGGGCTTATGAGAAAGCTTTTCTCTCCACTATGCTTTCAACTAGGTGCTCTAAGTCTGTAAAAAGGAATAATAATTTTAGCTGATTTTTTCAGATTATTTTTGTAAGCATGTGTGTCATTTTTGCATCTATAAAGAGTGACACAGTTGTAACTTTTTCTGTAATCTTAAAGTGTTCTTCACAGAATGGTTAGAGTAATATAACCACAAGTTACGTTTCTGGTTTCTAAGCACTGGTTAAAACAACCTAGGAAGCCTGAAAGAATCATGCAGAATCCTCCTGCCCAGCCTTCAGGGTTTTCAATACACTTCTATTGCCAACTCTGGCAGTGAGTGCTTACAACTCTCCCATAACTTTAGATTCCAGATGTGTTTAGTTCAGACGAGATCATAGCATGCCAGTACTGATGACATTCCATCTGTCATGGATTTTTTGATAATCAGACACAGGTGATGGTTAATCAGATTTAACACACTGGGGTTTTTAAACAGGGCACAGTGATTGCCAACTGGTACAATGTGTGTAACACAATTACGTTCATATGGTCTGTTCAGTCGGTAATGAGATTTCTGGAGCAGTAGAATTTGCTTCAAAGACACTGGTCTGGGACTCACAGGACTTGAAATTTATTCCTTACTCTACTGCTGACTTGCTGGGTGACTTCTATAAAAACCACTTTGACTCATTCCTTTTCATTGCCCTCCGCTGTAATGTCTTTATAAAGGTAGTGACCTCCTAATGCAGTGAAGCAACTTTATAATTGCAAGTTGGGCTTTTGAACCTCCTCAGTGTAAACACTGTCACTCTCCATCTATAGAGATCTCTGCATCAATTCAGTCCTGTTACAAGTGTGATCCATAAATAGTACAAACAATTAAAATGCCTTCACCTTTTTAGGCACTTTGCAAGAAACTGACACTTACTTTGAATGTATGGTTATGAAGTGGCTTATAATAAATTAAGCTTGCTGGAGGTGTTCCAGTTGTTCCGTCAATAGGTAGAGCCAAAACCTTACCACTTACAGGAATCTTTGTGGGAATTCTCAGCACAGGAAACAAGGAATTAACAAACCAGTCCCTCATTTTCCAATCCTGGACAACACTGCAATCTCCTCTTATTAATGCATATGCCCCCCCCCCCTTTTTGTTTGGAGGGGAAGGGGGAGAAGGGGAGAAAGACCCTCAGACCCAAGGTTTCCTTAATAACGACCTCACAAAATAAATCATGGGTTTCTATTAAAGGTTTGTTAATACCTGATGTGAGAAAGCAGCCCTGGATCAGCAATAATGAGAGCTCTCATTTTGCCTTCCTTTTCTTAACAATGATTGCTACAACTCTGCTGTCCTCTAAGCCAGAAAAAGTTGAAAACACAAAGAACAGCAGAAAGAAAAAAGATGTGCAATGATGAATTGCATTCAGCACCAAGAATACATACGGAGAAGAGTAAGAATAGCTGTTAAAGAAATCATATCATGAAGGATAAGAAATCTCACAGAATATCAGTCATTCTTATTCTGCATGTTTGCTGGCACAGTACAGGCAATAAAACAAAACATACGCTTTCCTTCATGTAGCACACAAAAGCAGGATCTGAGGAAAAATAACAGTAGAGCACTAGATGGTAGTCAGCTAAAATAAAACAGATTCCAGCACTGCAATTTGCAGTATCCTGCAGTGTTTGCAGAAGTTTTTTCCTCAAGCATTACTAATGTTAGAACTTTAGACAGCTTCCTTGAGTCTTTGTGGAACATGTTGTGTTAATTCCTACAGCGTTAAAATGATGTTTTGGCCTGATAATAGTATGCAAAACTCCCAGGAAGGCTGTGTTTAAAACTTAAAAAGCTACAAGCAATTCTTTCTAAATTGCCTCCTCCTGTTTTAAGATATACTGCGCTTTCAGACATTGCCACATAACACTCAGTGTAGTATGCACATAAGAAATGCAAAATCTTAGTCTAGTCAGCAGTCTGCTTCTATAGTAGACTAAATGAGTGCTGCAAAACTGACCTCTAACCTAACTAGATTGTTCCTCAGCTTCATCCTTTGCTTACCCCCTTTGCTACATAGACAGACTGCTTAAATAATAATAAAACTAATCATGCTCTTGAGATACAGTAACACTTATATGGTGGAATGAAATCCCTTTAGCAGGACGGTTGGTCACTGAATGGGCGGCCATAGGAATGCGTCACAAGTATCCTTGGAGCAGCATTTTCAGATGTGTCAGACAAAATTTCCCACACCACTGTTCTGCAAAGCAGGGCCCTGTCACATTTGACAACTGGTAAGGCAAAGACCATAACCCTGGATGTCCCCGCTGCCTCCTCCTTACCATGAGCTTTCATTGCCAAGCACAGTCTGATACAGTATGGGATATCCCTGTCCCAGCTGCGTCACCTCCCAGCTGCTTGAGCACCTAGCCTTGATAGCCTTTACAAGTCCAGAGTTGAAAAAAAGGCCTGGGAAACAATGTCTGTTTTAAAGTGTTTGATGCAAGGTTGAGATTTAAAGTTACCTCCTTTAAGCAATCTTTTTCAGATTTTAAAGAAAAGCAGACTTCACTGCACAGCACTTGGTTCTGCAGCAATGGGTGGGATTGATCAGTACCTGCATCTATGACCAAAACCCAACACTGCCTAATTGATATTTTGGATCTGAGGTATTCAGAAGGACAAAGCATAGACCCTGTTAATTTCCATTTTTAAAGTTCCATCTCTGTAACCTTATTCTTTGATGTGTAAAAACTGATGTGCATCCAGAATGAGCGCTTACCTGTGAAAACATGGCAATTAGTCCTGCATGAAAGCAATCAAGTAAAACTCAAGACGAGGAACAAGCTCTTCTGTCTCCAAGATACCGCCCCAGGACACCTTCCTTCCAGAAGGATGTTCAGGAATACTGGGAAATAGAACCAAAGGGATTATTTATTGGAAATGTGCAGCAGTGTTCCTCAAAGCACTCCAGTTTTGGACTAGAAGGTTAAAAAAATACTCCAACAAACCAGCAAAAGAAAAACAAAACTTTTAAAGTATTAGGTCTGGAAAAAATGGAAATGAGCTGAAATTTGTATTCTGAGGAAGAGCTGAAATAGAGCAAGAGAAGAAAACAGCTGCTTCAGGAATACAAATGCTAAATTTATTAATGCAAGAGAGGACAGTATGATTAAGTTGTTTAATGTACTGCATAAAACACAACAACAGTTGGCTTAATATATTTAACCAGAAAAGCTAAAAACACCATGGGTCTAGGCTGGAGTAAGTTCCAAACGCGTTATCTCCCCATTCTTTGATTGAGATGGTTTTTAAATCTCACTGGTTTTCCCTCCTCGTGCTCAATGCTGACAGAAGTGCATTGCAGTATACAAGTACCTCAACAATAAAAGTGCAAGTCCCAGTCCATGCTGAATTCCAGCCGACCGTATGTGTTCCTGACACTCAGCTCACAGCCCAAGCCAAGTTAATGAGGCTTCCTCACCCCAACAGGTACCACAGCAGTGAATTATTGTACTGTATCCTTACACAGTTAATCTCAACAAAGGCTCCTTCAAAAAAGCAAAATGGAGCAGGAGTACTAAAACCTTACATAGGAGAGAGAATACATGTTTTATTCTAGAAGCAGAAAAAGATTAGTGTCATAAGTGAACACCCATAACAGAGATCTAAGGGATGTGGGGAAACACCCATAACCTTTCCATTAAATATTACAGCACTTTCTCATTGTAATTTTTTTCCTCTCAACATGCCTTGAATCTGGTTCCTTGAATCATCTTCACAACAACAAAGTTAGCAATACTGTCTGTTATTTATATATATATTGCCTGCTACTTACCTTAAAGCAACTGCAAAGGGTAAGGGAAGGGGAGCCCTTGCTATTCCCATTACCTAGATAGACTCTGCAAGTCAGTGACAGTGGTACTGGGCTGGGTAGAATTAGGGCCAGCTGATTGATAGTCAAAGACCACAGAAGCATTTTATTCTTGTGAGGATATATAGAATCACAGCATCACACAACAGTTAGGGTTGGAAAGAACCTTAAGATCATCCAGTTCCAAACCCCCTGCCATGGGCAGGGACACCTCACACTAAACCATGTCACCCAAGGCTCTGTCCAACCTGGCCTTGAACACTGCCAGGGATGGAGCATTCACAACCTCCCTGGGCAACCCATTCCAGTGCCTCACCACCCTCACAGGAAAGAATTTCCTCCTTATATTCAATCTAAACTTCCCCTGTTGCAGTTTTAACCCACTACCCCTTGTCCTATCACTACAGTCCCTAATGAAGAGTCCCTCCCCAGCATCCTTATACACCCCCTTCAGATACTGGAAGGCTGCTATGAGGTCTCCATGCAGCCTTCTCTTCTCCAGGCTGAACAGCCCCAACTTTCTCATCCTGTCTTCATACAAGAGGTACTCCAGTCCCCTGATCATCCTCATGGCCTCCTCTGGACTTGTTCCAACAGATCCATGTCCTCTTTATGTTGAGGACACCAGAACTGCACACAATACTCCAAGGGAGGTTTCATGAGAGCAGAGTAGAGGGGCAGCATCACCTCCTTCGACCTGCTGGTCATGTTCCTTTTGATGCAGCCCAGGATATGGCTGGCTTTCTGGGCTGCAAGCTCACGCTGAAGCTGGCTCATGTTCATTTTCTCATCGACCAGCACCCCCAAGTCGTTCTCCACAGGGCTGCTCTGAATCTCTTCTCTGCACAGCCTGTAGCTGTGCCTGGGATTGCTCCGACCCAGGTGTAGGACCTTGCACTTGGCATGGTTAAACTCCATGAGGTTGGCATCAGCCCACCTCACAAGCGTGTCAAGGTCCCTCTGGATGGCATTCCTTCCATCAGTTCTGTAGCCCCATCATAGAAGGCCACCACATTGGTCAGGCAGGATTTCCCCTTGGTGAAGCCATGCTGGCTGTCACCAAGCACCTTGTTGATTTTCATGTGCCTTAGCATGCTTTCCAGGAGAATCTGCTCCAAGATTTTGCCAGGCACAGAGGTGAGACTGACTGGTCTGTAATTGCCCAGATCATCCATTTTCCCCTTCTTGAAAATGGGGGTTATATTTCCCGTTTTCCAGTCGTCGGGAGCTTCACCTGACTGCCATGATTTTTCGAATATGATGGCCAGCGGCTTAGCAACTTCATTCACCAGCTCCTTCAGGACCCACGGATGGATTTCATCAGGACCCATGGACTTGTGCACGTTCAGATTTTTAAGATGGTCTCAAACCAATTCCTCTCCTACAGTGGGCCCAAGGTCTCCATTCTCACAGTCCCTGCATCTGCCTTCCAAGACTTGGGTGGTGCGGTCAGAGCCTTTGCTAGAGAAGACCGAGGCAAAGAAGTCATTCAGAACCTCAGCCTTTTCCAAACCCAGGGTAGCTAGTTCACCCGAGAGCTTCCGGAGAGTGCCCATGTTGTCCTTAGTCTGTCTTTTATTCACAATGTACCACAGAATCCCTTCCCTAGCCAAGTTTAATTCTAACTGGGCCTTAGCTTTCCTGACCTGGTCCCTAGCTCCCCAGACAACATCCCTGTATTCTCTGCAGGCCACCTGCTCTTGCTTCCACCTTTTATAAGCCTCTCTCTTCCCCTCTGATTTTCCTCAGCAGCTCCTTATCCATACACACACACACACACACGCCTACATCCACACATGCAATGTATACTGGGACAAACACCTAGCAGCACTGCACCAGAAAGAAAATCAGATGAACTTTAACACATACTCAAGAACAAATTCTGTTCTCACACCACAGCACTTTCATACAATCAATAAGTGTTGAATTTGGATCACTGAGTATTGAAAGTGATCCCTGTAAGCCTTAAGGAATATATCACTGAGGAATGGTAGACTGCTTGTGACATAAGCCAATAACTGGTCCTCTCAAGAGAAAATGCTGTAGAGAACAAATGTCATTTCTCTGCAGGGAGTAAATGAGCAAAAGCCTGCTCACTGGGACTCTCTTTTTCTTCCACACTGAAGAATTCAGTTCACTGGCAACCCTGTCTTCCTCTACATTACATACACTTCACTGAAAGTAGAAGAGAGTTGTACTACTTCTGCCTTAAGGACAGAATAACCTTAAAGTTATTCCAAATGGAGTTGTACCTTAAAAGACCTTGTAAAAAGTCTTAACACTCAAACGTTACAACAAACTGCATCATTCAGGGAGAATGGATGAAGTAATTGCTCAACAGGCAGTACACAAATCCAACTTCTTTCCCACAGTCATACAGTGTGTTACAATACAAAAAGATTCATGGCAACCTTCTGTAAGTATATTTATGGTGGTTCTCGGCTCCTTCCATCCTCAGTAGAGGTTAACCAATACAGAGCATCATCCTCTTCCTGTTGCCTATAGACAAAATCTAAAACAAGAAACAGCTTTTGTGACTATCACTACATATGCTAAACCAATCAGGTTTATTCTGTGTTTACAGGTACCCCAAAGCACAAAAGCAATTGCTGGATGTGTTGTCAGTTACACACTGCTTGCCAGTCTCAGCTTTCTACTATGCTAAATTATACAAACCCAAAAGTTGCCAGAAACCAGGGAATTTATAAATTGGCAAAGCAGAAAGGGTGGGAGGTATAAGCTGACACCGTTAGAACAGTGGGTACCCTTCTTCAGAAGGGTTATTCAGTGTGTTATTACACAGGTAAGCAATCTGACATTTCATTAACGTGGCTATAATTTACCAGACACTACCCTGCAATAGCCACTGTCAAGCAAACAACTATTGTTTTGTTGGACTCATTGAAGTGATTTGTGTTTGGAGGATGAGTCCTGGTTTCTAGAACTATCCTAAACTGCAAAAGAACCCATTTGATGTACTTTCATTTGGACTGTAAGTAGAGTGAGCTGCTTTTATACCGTTTCCTTCATTTTGTTAATGTGCAAACTTCCTCTGCAACTAATTATCTTAAGATTTTAATTTAAAAGTTAATCTTCTAAAAATAATATTAATTAACACCATTTTCCTTGTATTCCCCTATTACCTTCTGTCCTTTTAGTTCCAGGTTTTCAGTTGTAATGGCCTTCAGCTCCACTGCAGGCTTCCTAGTGGAGAAACATATCTGTGCCAGCTTGCTAAATAACCTCAGTAATGTTCAGTCACTCAGAACTCCTCCATCTGTGTGTCCATCCATCCAAAGGACCAGATGCTCTGAAAAACGCCTTCTCCGCTGCGCCTGGTGTATCACTATCTGAAATATGTTGCTCCTGTAACTGCCATTTCCAGCACACAAGCAAAGGCAACAACTGACCTACCTTGGGCCCTCAGTGGTTCACTTGGTCAGGTACAACATGTTCTTTACAAGTCAACTGTTCCTGCTGCTAGAGCTAAGGGAAAACCTGCACAAGGTTTTTACAGGATTATTTCCTCCCATCCCACAGACAATGAAATCACATTAACTGGATTACTGGAAGCACTGGAATAGCTGGAAGCATTGTGACAAAAACCGTTGGAAAGAAACCATTTCACCAAGGAAAAGAAGTCCAGACGAATGCATATTTCACCAGAAGGAAAAGCTAAGCTTTCTGTGCATAATTCCAGACCTATTCATTCCATTGGGTTTGCACTTATAGGCATGTAGACAACTCAATTAAGTTATAATGGAAATTAGATAATGAGATAATCATATAAAGCTCCTTTCTAAGGTTGCATATATTCCACTGACACAGGTTACAGAAATGTTCTTGCCAAGAACATGACGATGCTATGCAAGCTTGCTTCACCAGATGCAAAGAGAAGTCCTTGTTTCCCTGTTAAACATCCGCACAGCTGGTTTTTTACAGCACAAAGATTAATACATGGGACCTGACTCAGCAGTGGATCACTTTCAAATTGTTTGGCTAGTAACCTCAAGTTTCTTCTGGAAATACCTTAGAAGAAAGTTTCCTTAGAGAAAGGAAGCATGTGCATAATATACAATATTCTCTGTAAGAAACTTAATGATATTCGATCATCCTACATTGTTGCAACTTTCCTGCTATACCCCCTTGAGTGAACAATTATCTCTGATGAGAAGCTTCAGGAAAAATATTGATTAGGCCATGTTCTTGGAAACAAAAGACGCATGTGAATCTCAAGGCTCTGCTGAAGGGCAAAGCAAGAAGGCAAAGAATGTACTTCTCCTTTACTTCCAGCAGACAGATCCTGCTGACCGTATTCCATTGCAGAGCACTGCAAGAGAGACGTTCACTATAGAGTATGGTAAAAGGAGTGATCGATCTTGCCAAGTTAAGCATCTTCAGTCATACTTAATACTAAAGTATTAAAAATGTCGTAGAATCAGTTTAAAAGTAACTATCACTGAAGAGTTACTGAAACTTGGTATTCTATCCACCAAATTTGTTGAAAGTGCTTAACTTCCATTGAAGTGCTTTACTATGTATAGCAAATCAGTTTTAATGAAAACTAGTAATAATGCAGTTACAAATCACAAGCCAATGAACTGTGCTAACAAATAACACTTTAAAAAGATACCTATGCGTTTTAGTAGCTTACTTCATAGAATCATAGAATGGTTAGGGTTGGATGTTTAGTTTCTTGTTGACAAACACCCCCAAGTCCTTCTTCTCAGGGCTGCTCTGAATCTCTTCTCTGCCCAGCCTGTTGCTGTGCCTGGGATTGCTCTGACCCTGGTGTAGGACCTTGCACGTGGCATGGTTAAACTTCATGAGGTTGGCATCAGCCCACCTCACAAGCGTGTCAAGGTCCCTCTGGATGGCCTTCCTTCCCTCCAGCATATCAACTGAACCACTCAGCTTGGTGTCATCGGCAAACTTGCTGAGGGCGCACTCAATCCCACTGTCCATGTCACCAACAAAGATGTTAAACAAGACCGGTCCCAACACCGACACCTGAGGGACACCACTCGTTACTGGTCTCCAGCCGGACACCGAGCCATTGACCGCAACTCTCTGTGTGCAGCCCTGAAGCCAGTTCTCTATTCACCAGGTGGTCCATCCATCAAATTTATGTCTCACCAGTATAGAGACAATTTCTAATTTTTAAGATAAACGTTTCATCACTGAAGCATCACGGCTTCTGCCTTGGGCAACTATTCACTGCCAGAACAGCTGTGGAATCTGAAGTTACTGCCTGCCAACTGCTTGGTGCCATTACTCTTTTGTCAAAAATTGCTAGCCCCATAGAACGTGATGCTGCTCAGCCAGCAGAATGCGTGATACAAGGATTCCCTCCACTGTTCCAGTATAAAGTTAGCTAAGCTACCTTTAAATCCAACTACTCATGGATAAGAAATGGCAGAATTTCTTCTAAAGATTAAATGCTGGCTGTTCAATGTTATGTACATCTTTGCAAAACAGTGAAAAACAAATGTAAGGGGTTTTAAACTCATCTCAAATTTGTCTGCACTGTTCTGAAACTGCTTTAAAATGTTCATCTTGTCAAGCACAATTTTGCCATATGCCTCACGCTGATGGGACAAGGTTACTGAAGTGCCATGTCAGCAACATAACATCAGCAAAACTGAGCTGTCAGGAACAGGAAAGACTTAGAGCTGCACTATACTCAGTCCTCGTCATCTGGACGCCTTTGGCCAGAGGCGTGAGATTTATCCCTATCAACAGTAACCTGTGCAGGGATGCAAAGACATCTAAACCCTCTTTCTGACACAGCAGAAATCTTCAATTATGGTCTGAATTGTGGGAATATGGCATTAAACCATAAGAAGGGAAAAAATTCCTATTTAGAGAAGACTGCTGATAAAACCCCAGCATGTCCTGGGTGTCATTTAGGCCTGGAGAGGTACAGGTTTTTATGTAAGACAGAACTGTTGGTTTTAGTCTTATAGGTGGATTCATTTATAAATGCTGACCCTGGCATATAATCTTCAACAAAAGCTGTGCCTCTCTATCTAATTCCCATCTTTCAGCTGAGACATTAACATGCCTTATTCAATGTTTTTCTCTCTCAAGCATTACCTCAAATTAATTGGCACTGTATAAAATAAGTTCCTGGGTGCACAATGGTAACCATGGTAGCCTTCATACTATCCTCACAATGCATATGTAATTCAGTCCTCAGGAAAGCATAATTAGTACGTAGCATAATGTATTCTCTCTAAACACACCACCACCATATGAAATGCACACAATCGAAGCAAGCGATGCCTCCCAACCTCCGCTGAACTGGACGAGCAGTCACATTACAAATGAATACACTATTAAGTAGTTTTGCTGCAGCATCCTCAACTTGCATAACGCTTCTTCCGAACGGTATGCCTTTTCTCTATGGCCGAAAGGTGGCAATGTTCTACTTTGTATCAGCTGGCCTTAGCCAGTCAATAGAGCTGCACTTGCAGGAATCCTGCAATCTCTTCCCAGCCAAGCCAGGCAGCATGCACCATTAACTGGGGTGCTTACCGGGTCCCAGTGCTTCAGTGACGCAGCCCTCAGTTAAAGCGGCTCGAATATTAAAATACCATTCAGGCTATAATCCAGTGAGCTGTGTGAGAGTACACTCATGTATATTTCCTTATGAGGAATATTAAAAGGCATATGCCACTTAAAGTGTGTTCTCTTACTCATCACATATAATCAGGCTTTACTCAGGATGCTCCCAACGTGTTCATACAGGACAATTACTTCTATGCACTGAGTGAAAATTGTCACTAGCCCAGCTGCTCAGAAGATGCCACCTTGCCACTACACCAAAGCCTATTTCAAGCAATGTAACTCATTCGAGGTGACCTCCATAGTTCATTTGGGGATTTGCCACTTGGGAATATTGAAGTCACCCGAAACATCTGACAGTGAGGCCTTAATACCACACCCATACAGACTGCCATAACACAGCATGGGAAAAACAGCATGCAGCTGCTCTTTTCCTGCTTAGTGTCCCAATAACAACTGCATTACTTATTTAATGGCACGAGTTAGGAATTATCACATGTAGCAATAAACTCTTGCCCTGGTGCTGGCCTGCTCCTATGATTACACACACAGGGTGTCCCACACCCAAACACTAAGATGCTATTTCCATTTGACACTAAGTGACAAAAGAAATTATGTTTTGCCTGGTGTGTCACAGGGAGATGTTTTCCGGTATCATCAGTCAAATGGGAACTCTAACATTATTTTGTATATGGTATTCAGGATAACTGACTGCTTACTATGGAGTCGAAGCAACAGTGTAAGAAAAGAAGAGAGAAAGAAGCACCCTTACAAATCCACTGAAATAACTGTTGGGTTTCTAACAAAAAGAGGCTCTAAGGCCAAATTTGGTGTCATGATTGTTCTGATGAGGCTGAGGAAAAGAAGTTACAGTAAAAGAGCTAGATAAATAAATGCATTTTCAAATGCTGCCAGCTAAGCTGATTTATTACCTACAGAAAGCAAAATGAGAAGTGCTTCTCCACAAAGCAGGTGTAAAGAGATGCCCAAACATGGACAGGATAGAAAGTACTTAGCAGACATGAAAGCCATTTAATTCCTCCTGTGAATACATATTGATTTAGTTTTCTGCTGTACTAGAAACATTACTTCTATTAAGTGTGGGGTATCAATGAAATGCAGACATCTACCACACCTCTGGTAAAAACTTCAGACAACTCATTTGGGAAGCAAAATCAACTTAGCAGATAAGATATGAAGTAGCTGCCTGGCAGTTGATTCATCTTTGCCCAGAATCCTTAGTAATGTTCATGTGCACAAGATTTACCTTCATTTTACTCCCTCTACATGTATATGACAGGAAATACTTTCCCACTCATAACAAAAACCTTTGAAACTGCTGTAATATTCAAATGTTTTCGATAATACCATTTGCCCGTTCTTTTATACCACCAACATGCCGTGGATGCTTTTCTCCTGACAAATCCTTGTGACGTGGCAGAGCTGTCACCAGAGCACAATGAGCTGACATTTCCATGCAGGCACTGCCAGGGCAGGTGACATCCTCTTACTCCACTCTGCAGGAATAAGGGATGTAGATCTCCGTTTCAGATGTTTATGGCAAAAGGTAGCATTATGATTGTAAACTCCAGCCACACACATGGTGGCAATCCACGTGCACCTGATTCCACACATTTTGACTATTAGAGATGTGGGGAAGGGAAGGAAATGGCATTTCTTCAGTGCTATTAAACAAATCTTCGGGTAACAACATCATTGATTTCAATTACACAGAATCGGAAGAAAATGCCCTCTGTTACTAATGCTTAAGTAGCCATGTCACACTTTGCATTTACAGCCATTATAAAATTTATTTGGCAAAAAAATGGTGATAACTGGTAAAATAACAGCATTTCATATGGAAAAGCTGGCTAGTTCAGGAAAAGCTGTTTATGTTAGGTGATGGAAATTATTTCATACATTTACATTAGGTTACCTATTATCAAATACACATTATATGACACTAACTTGACATTTTTCTTAAGACACATGATTTTATTAG